CTTCCTCGTCGGTCTTGCCACATTCAAATCCTGGGCCGGCTTGGGTCCCACCAACACTGTCGGCATATTTGTCGTCCTCTACTTTCTCAACGCCCTCCAGCTCCTACTCTACGTAGTGATGCAGATTATCCTCGTTACCCGCACCCTTCAGGACCGTTGGCCCTTGGGTGACATCGCCTTCGGCCTCTTCTTCTTCATTGCCGGCCAAGTCATCCTCTACGCGTTCAGCTCGCCCATCTGCGAGGGCATCTCGCACTACCTGGACGGTCTCTTCTTCGCCACGACGTGCAACTTGCTGGCCGTGATGATGGTGTACAAGTACTGGGACTCGATCACCAAGGAGGACTTGGAGTTTTCGGTGGGCACGAGGATGAACAACTGGGAGGTCAAGGAGTTGCTGCCACAGGGTCCGGAGGAGGACAGGAGGGCGACGGTCTATGCGGATCCGATTTACGAGGGCCATTATGCTTCCGGACCCGGAACGGGAAGTGGTGCGAGCGCCAGCGGTTATGAGGGGGGACATCACAGACGGGAGAGTCATGGGTATACGCCTAGTCCCAACAGGCAGTCCTTGAGGTATTAGAACGCCTGAGACGGCCTGGGGACATGTTGAGGAAAAAAAAAGAAAAAAGTGTAGAGAAGGAGATGGATGTCATGGACAGAGAAAGGGATGGATTGTGGATGTGTCTTCAGACGGTTGATTGATACCATGTGCTCACGGCACTCTTGTCATGTTGCTTGCTTGTTTTGGTTGGGCGGGCGCAAAAATGCATAACGCAGCTATCTTTTATGATTTTCGGTACGGGGGTTTTTCTGGTGGGAGAGCAGCAAGCGAAGCATTCCCAACAGACAGCGTGTTGGTAATTCATCCTTCTTTTTTTCTTTCTTCTTTTTTTTCTCTCTTTTGGTCGGCGTTAATGGCATTTCATCACGGGAGAACGGACGGAGGATGTTGAAATGGGGGTACGTACGTTTGTCATGGGACATGTGGTTGTCCAACGACGACGACGACGACGAGAACACTTAACTACCTAACCTGATAGGATATTTCTCTTATAATAATACTCTTACAAGAAGACATTAATAGCATTATACCACTTTACATTTGTGTATTCCGCGCGTCTTTAGCTGCTTGATCAACTTTTCGAGTTTTGTTGTAGGTTAATGTCGAATGATAACCCGTGCCAAGTGTAATCATATACGAAGACCGAGATGCCTTGAGCAGATTTACTGACTACTACAGTAATCACGGTCAGCATTATACATATACAAGAAGTAGTAGTAATGGCGTTTGGGGGATTTGCAAAACTTTAGGTTGTGGGTTAGGGGGGGGGGGGGGCGGCTGGATGGTGATGAACGGAAGGTGCAAGCCAAGCTGACATTTAGCTGCAGCCACTGTAAGCCTCGAGGGCGATAAATCGAGAAGGCTAAGCTACCTATTAAAAAGATTACGTAGTACAAGCTGCTGAGGGCAATTAGGTTGTGCTCTAGACGGAGTTTCAGGGTCTTGGCATTGGCGTTCAAAGGGCGATAGGACGCATCTTGTATCGGCCTTTATCTGTTTACAGACTTGCTTCAGTTGCTTTATTATCTGTTTGCGCTGAATTTAATGGCTTCTTTTTACCAGAGTGAAGAAGTTGAGCGTTGGTTTTCCAGGTTGTATGTACCGTAGACTGGGGATCTGCAACTTCATGATCTAGTGTAGTGTAGTGTAGTGTACTACGATTAGCGATTTCCGTGTTCTAGGTAGTGTAGCTTTGAGGTCTGTCCACCACACAAGTTTTTTCGTTGGTAGGTGGGTAGGTGACGGCGGCGATGCTATCATCGACATGCTTTCACAAGTGGAATGTGAAATGCAAGGACAGTTCGTTCCTATTTCTTCCTTCCCACTGTAAGATGACTCCAACGATTGGATGTACCTAATGCTGATACTCATGAACCCGAGCCTCACAGGGGGTGGTGGCCTGTACTTACCTTACCTTATGTGATACACACTGTTTCTCTAGTAGCCTGGTGGCGTGAGAGGCCATGTCCCTTGGTAGCCCTAGGCAAGCTCGGCAAGGTAATGTACCATTCAGAAGTGTATAATTATACATGACCTTGTTATGTACTACAGGCCACCCGACCCTTTTCACGCTGGGTAGAGGTAGTAGGAAAGTATGTATGCCAGCAGCCCCTTTTTTGCTTGTTAGATTAGACAGCAGCTTGGTCTCAATGTTACAAGGTGCCAATGTTAATGAGGTGTGTATGTGTATCTTTGTGGGAGACAATGCACACAGTTCTCCGCTCTCATGCTAGAAGCAGATCTCAGCTTTCAACTGACGCTACGCAAATTCCTTTTTTTTTTCTCTGAAGATATAAAGCAAAGGAAAGGAAACCGCCGTCAGCCTGGACGTTGATCGTATCCTCACCTGGGACGGTCATGTCACATTGGGGCCTTTTTGTTGTGTGTTCAAATTGGCCGCCAGTCATATCATGGTTTCCTTTTTTTGTTCTCATTGTTTTGTCTGGGAGGGCGGACCCGGGGAGGTAATACTAGGTAATTTGCACATTTACGACTTTTTGCGACATTTGCGAACTATAATACGACGGGTCCCGGTCGCTCCTTATTTCCCCCCTCCCGATTTGCTTTCCTACTCGGCGCGACCATACGACTATGTGAAACTAACCTGCGGACACGGAGTTTCCAGCTTGCCGAGGCTTCGTTTTTTTTTGTCTTGTTTTTGGAAGGAGCGTTGTTGTTTATTGATCAGTTTGCGTTGGAAATAGTACCCGAGCACCATCTAAAGCACAACACACTATCGATCCGTTCCACCTCACGTTTTATTATCATGTCACTTTTGGCAGCAGCAGCAGCAGCAGCATTGTCGGTTGGAGGGATGGATACAATACAAGTGAAGTGAATGAAGGCTAGGGGATCAATACGTCACGGAAATCATTTTAGTTCATGCTCACTCGTTTGCGGTGGGACCCTGGTCCTTATTCGCCCGATGATATATCTACTATGTACATCCATCCAGTTGCTGGGTCCAGTCTCTCTTTCCTTTTGCCTGTCTGGTCGATATCGGTTCGGTTGTTTGGTCTTTGGCGGTTCCTTCTTTCGGTCATCAGCTCGTGCTGCATCTGATATTCTATTCTGCGCTTTTCGGGTCGGATGCGATGCCATCAATTGGGGTGGGCAGGCGAGCTGTTGAATAGTCGCCGCAGTCATGAAATGCATTTTAGTTCCCTCTTGGTCCGTCACTTCTCCCTGCGTAAAGGAAATCCGAGTTTTCCGCACACGGCACTTGACTCACTGCAGCGCCCACTACTCGTCATGGCTAGTCGGGACTATCTGTCCTTTCGTGGTGTCTTTTACCTGATGACAGTGCGAACGGATGAAGCAATGACGGATGATTAGTCGTATTGATATTGTGAGAATCCCTCCCTATTCAGTGCAACCTTGACCCATTTTAGGAAATCTGCTAGGTCCCCGACTAGTCTCTCCCTTAGCTTGGCCCCTCCCTCACCCCCCCTATACGCCCGGACGGGCTTGTGCAACCAAATCAAGGACGAAGTGCCGCCCAAATTAAAAATATCAAGCAATTCGGTAATTTTCCCCCAGGACAACCCTCGACTCCATTTGATTTTACAGCAGCTAGCTGAGGTGCCTACCTATAGACAGCCTGACAGACAGCACACACGGTAGTAGAGGTAGGTACCAACACCACAGTCTACATATGCGCCCGGTACTCCGGTCACTCGACTATAGGGAAACACTGGGATACCTGGAATTCCAAAACCACCATCTAATCCACTCTTTTTTGCCCATCCCATTCCCTTTAATCCACGCCCCACACGTCCGCGCCCAGGTCCAGCACATATGTAATAGGGCCTAATAAGCAATACTAATTATCGTATGTCCATGCGCGCACACGGCAGCTGCCTTGTCTCATCAGTCAGTCAGTCGGCAGTCCTATAGAGGGGAGGGGAGAGCTCTCGTAATGATAGGAAATCATTCCATGCGCAGCCTAACTGACCGTGTGGAAATGGAGAAAAAAATCATCAAGATCGGGTACCTTTGACTTGTACCGCGCGACCTACAATCCCCATTCACCCTTTTTACTAATACCCTTTTTTGCTGTTTTGTTTTTTTGGCCTTGCGTGTCATATATCAACTTTTTTTTTTTTCTCTTGGATTCCTTGGACCGCCCTTTGCGTTCTTCTCCAATATCCTACCTGTTCTTTCACCCTATCTCTTTCTCCAACTACCTAAGTAGGTATCACCGCAACATCCCTCATCCATCACTTACCATTTGGGTTTTACTCGCCTCGTACCCAATCTCCTATCACTTCGGCTTGTGCACAGGGCATACATAGTAGGTTTCTATCTATCTACTTACATTATCTATACTGCCGCCGCCGTCTGATCTCACCGTTTCCCCCCCTAGAGTAATAAAACCCCATCCGGGACGTAATTGCCCGCACCACTCGCACGCCCCTTCTTCCTCTTTCTTCCTTTTTTTTTTTTTTCTTTCTTGTTTCTCCGACTGTTTTTTTTTTTCTCCCTGTGTGCCATATCCGAAGTTGGATTTTGCCCCTGTGTATTCAACCGCAATTCTAACTGGCGCAGAAAGTGCATGAGGGCGAATATTAGACTAGTATACCACGCAATATTGCGATCTCACTGCCGTGCCATCACATGCAGCACCGTATAGGTAACAAACCACTTCATCCGAGTCTGGCCCAACCTGGTTTTTCTCTCCTAACCTTGCCACGATCACATATTTTCCTCCACTTTCATTCACGCAATCTTGCTGTGCAGGCCTCATATGCATTTTTATTAACTCGATCTTTTCAGTCCTCTCCAGCTTCGACCGCAAGACACCGGCCAAGTAGGACACCCAGCGCATTCTGCCTAGCAGGACATAATACTAGATCGGACCTCACCTGCCCATTACATATATCACTTGTATACCCTACCCGCAAGCGGAAAGGGAGGCGACATGCCACCGTTTGCCCTTCCCGCTAGAGCCGGCACCATGGCATCCAGCAACCCCAACATTAATGGAACCGGCGCCAGCAGCTCCACACGTATCGTCACCAATGGTGCCGATGGCCCACCACAAGAAGAAGAAACCCAGATGAACCTCGACGCCACAACCTGGGACCAGATCATGGCCAAGTACTGGGCCTCCACCGCCGCCAACCGCGAACGCGAAGACGCCGAGCTGTGCGAGGCCTTTGCCCGAGAGGAATCCGAACTAGCTGATCGCCAGCTGAAGCTCGGTCAAGAGCGGGTCAAGCTGCTGGAGCAACTCAAAGCCATTGATCAGCAATGGACGGAGATCGAGGCGCAGAGGAAGACCAAGGAGAAGGATCAGAAGAGGAGGTGTGAGACGATTCGAGAGGAGAGGGAGAGGGACGATAAGTTGAAGAGGAGTTGGTTTGAGGAGAACAGGAGGAAGGCTGCATCGGGCGAGAAAGGACAGGACCCGGCAGGTTTGGCCATGTTGGCGAAGAAGGCCCAGGGCGTGGCTTCTATGGCCGGTGGTGAACTTTGCAATGGGAGTGGCTCGACTTCGGGATTGTCGTCGCAGCGGGAGACGCCGCTGAGAGAGGAACAGCAGCAACGGCAACGGCACGCGTTGCCTAGTCGGCCTAGGGAAGGCGGTAGGACACCAAGTGAGGAGCACGACAGGGCACAAGAACTCCAGCAACAACTACGCAATGAACAAGAGCAGCAGAAGGAGAGGACTGAGAATGGACTGGATGGAAAGGCCGTAGACATGGATAAACTGCCCAAGGTTTATAATGGTGCAGGTACATGTGTTGGTCATGTGCGGCCCATCAACTTGAGGAATCACTTGACTATGCATGTCCAGCAGCAACCGATCAAGCGCCACGTACAGATTCGCCAGGGACGAAACTTCACCGCCGAGACATTGGAAACCGTCTACGAACCGAGCGACAAGAAGGGCGCCAAGTGGTTGAGCTGTTGGATTCAGGCTACGGGTCATGTTCAGGAAACCCCTTGCGCGTCGTGCACAACTCGCCAAGGTGTCTTTCCGCAATGTATCATCCTGGATGCCGAGGGCTTCCCCCGGTGCGGTAACTGCGAGTGGAATCGCCAGGGATGCTGGGGTGCTTCTAAGCATGCAGACCACGACATGGCCGAAGCCAACCCAAAGGCCGGGAACGGAGAGATGGCTCAGGAAGCTCCCGTTGTTACCAGTGGCTTTAAAGCTGTTAATGGCACATCGGCGAGCCAGAAGACCACCAAGGTGGTTAGCAACGGAGATGAGCAGCCAGCACGATCCAAACTGCCCTCAGGGCGCAAGTCCCTTCCGAGCACGCGCAAGTCCAGTGTACAGCCCGACTCAATCGCCCCAACGCCCCTGGAAGGCAGCCCAGCGCCCAACGACAGCGATCACGCAGAAGATCTTCCTCCTATCAACCAAGCGAACCTCGCCCTCCGTGACGACGGGACTGTTTTCACCGACCCCCCTTGCATGCGCGGCGTTCCCCTTGCCAGGATCGGCCCCGACCATCCCTATTGGGATCCTGAATGGGTCGCGCTCGAAGAGCCGATCCAAGCCCAACTCGCCAAGTGGTCGGAGAAGTACGAGAAGTTGAAAAACGAGGGCGGCGCGGCGTCGACAAAATATCTGGCTGGTCGTCAACAAAACAGGGGCAAGTTGGTTTTGGACTTTCTGGCAAAGGGAGAGTTCCACCCTTATCAGCTCATGGCAAAGCACCTCATCAACAAAGCATACATAGGCTATGATAACTTGTACCGCATGGTGCAGGTGCTGGAGGAACTCAAGAGGTTCAAGCAGCTGGACGTTTCGCCTTCACAATGGCTTAGACACCGATTGCACGAGATCCACGAAGAGCTGGGCGATAAGTTCAACCTCGGCAAGGCGGTGGAGAACCTCTACTCGGACCCCAAGCTTCGGCTACTTCGCAGCGAGAGCGGGTTTGGCAATATTGGTCGGCCGAGGGGCTACAAGCCCACGATGGCTGATAAGGGAGAAGATGGACCAGCTCCCAAAAAGGCGACCAAGGGGACCAAGAGGAAGGCTGCTGCTGTTCCCGCGACAGATGACCCTGTCAACCAGTCAGAAGAACAACTTCGTGTCGTAGACCACCATCAAGCCGCCGACACAAGAGCCCCATCTTCCCATTCCTCACCCTCTACTTCAGAAGAAATGGGTCATCCAACCCATGCGATCTCCAAGCCTCCCGCAGCCAAACACCACCAGCCTTCCCCCTCCGTGACCCTCAAAATCCAGGCTCCCCCCGAAGACCTCTACTACGAAGGCTACACCTCGGACGACTCCTACTCGGGCGATAAGATTACAGAAGTTGACTGGCGGCTATTACAAGTTCGTCACCGGGAAATGACTACCAACACTGGTATAACACAATACTGGCATTGGTTGGGCGCCGGCGAGGACTTGACGGGTCGCGGAGAGGAAAACTGCTTTGAGCACCAAGTCCTCAAAGACGTTAAGGGCCGTCGCGTGACGTGGGGCGTCTACAAGGAGCCGATTGATTTCCATCTGAGGTTGGACGAAATTGAGGAGGTGGTGTATGCGCCTGAGGGAAGTGGGTGTTTGAAGATTTTGGTTAGTGTGAAGAAGGATGCACATCATCATCATCGTCATCATGGGGATGAGGACGAGGAATCGCAGGAGGCGCAGGAGTCGAGGGGGGATGTCTTGGCTTGGTTTAAGCGGGAGAGAACCAAGAGGAGGTTTTTGAGCTTTTTGGTGAAGAAGGGGAAGAGGGTGGTGAGGAGCACTGCGTACGTATTGTTTTTTCTTTTTTTATATATTCTGAGTTGTGTGATGCGATGAGTTACTGACGTTTGAGGTGTTGCTGTCTGTATAGGGCGTACGTGGAACAAGCTTGGGATGATATGGACTCGGTTGTCTTGCCGCATGAGGATGAATAGGTTTTGAAATCCTCTGGGGAACAAGAAATACCTATGGTTGCTTGCCCATGAGCGTGAGGAATACGGTGGGTGATGATTGGTGAGGCGCAGGGGGGAAGTTGTGAAGCGCGTCAAAAGGTGTTTCATGCTATAAAGCTGGCGGAGGGGAATGTTTTTCTTGGTTTTTTTTTTTCTCATTCTTCTGTTCCAGACGTTTTGCTTCACGGCACTCTTGGTTTGCGTGGCCTCGATCCATAGATCGGCCGATCGTGGTTTTACTGCATTTCCTGACTTTCCTGGTTTTCTTCTGCTGGCGTTGTGTTGGTTGGTATGGAGTTTGGGAGTTTATGTTTTTCTTATTGTTAGTTTTTTCTGTTTCCTCTTTCATCCTTGCATTTACTACCGGGCCTCTTTAAGTTCTTAACGCCGGGATAAAGTGGTGGGATATATACACAGCGTCAAGGGGGTTGGTGGTGGTGGTGGTGGTCAGTTTACTGCTTGCTTGTTCCGGGCGTTGCTGGTATGGTGGGTGGAAAGACTGGATTTGAAAATTTTCGTTCTGAAGAGAGAGGGAAGACTGGAGTGATTCATTATTTAGGTAGTTGAGGGAAAGTAGTGGAAGATAATTGATAGAGATGGTTTACATTCAACTCGCTTTAGTGAGCCCCGGTTCTGGATGTGCGTTGACTTGGGGTGATGTGAACATGCCTCTGTTTCCGTGTGTCGGCGAGACTGATATCATAGTGTTTAGCCAGGAAGTCGAGAGAATCTATCATCTACATTTGATAGCGGGAGGTAGTGTAGCATACAAGTGTGGTAACTGAAGCAAGGATAAGTTTCAAGTGAGAGCCCGCGCTTCAAGTGGTAAACGATCACCCATAAAAAAAACTAGGTGTACAATATGATCGTGTTGGACCTGTCTTAATCCCAAGCCATCCTTGCCGAGCCGGGCCGATGAACTTGCTTCAAAGGAACTGAATATGGTATTGTATTCTTTCACGGATCACATTCCATATGCATTATCGTACATGAACAAAGACGGGTCCGGAAGCTTCTTCTCTAGCTGGCTTGTCTGATACGAATGTCTGACTGTCTGGGGTGCACCGTAATTCACACCAGAACTTCTTGATCGACGGTGGTCCGTTACGGGGTCGAAAGGGAAGTAAGTTGCTCTTTCCTTCAACCTGGTGGGTATGGATGGTTCCGCAACCCATTCGCAATGAAGATTTCGGATACGTATGCTGCCTGTCTGTATCTGTGTATTCCATGTTACTGTCCAGGTGTCGTGCGTTCACGATGTACCATTGCTCATCGAAGGCTCAGATCGTTATTGGTGGGTGTTTCGGTCGTTTTTATTGTTGCTGTCGACGGAGGGAAAAAGGTATAGAGATGCCTGCCATCTATCCGTCCATATATGTTGTCCGGTCTGGTTCATTACGACCCCCTTTGTGTCACAACCCGGTACGTAGATGAGATGGATACATGTCGATTTGATTCAATTTGGTATTTCCCATCCATCTGTCCATCCATCCTTCCATCTTACATCGTACATCATCCCACGCCCTCCCTCAGAGGTTATCTCCGTGCCCTTTCCCAGACAGACAGACACACAAGCCCCGTTCCATTCCACACCCGCTTAATCTTGAATGTGATTTACGCCTCCTCCAAACTCCTCCAAGGAATCGCCCCAAACCTCGACAATGTCTCCAGCTTGCCATCGCCCAGCTTCACGTTCGCCGTGCGGATCACGCGCGGGTCGGCCTTCATGGTGCGTCGGACTTCTTCGTGCGTCGCGATGCTGGCGTCGTACCGCATGACAAAGTAGTGGCCCCGGTTATGGCGCTGCTGGTTGGTGGAGATGGGACGGGGTAGCAGGAAAGTGCCCCAGTTCTTGATGTCGCGGATGACGCCGCCTTGGTTGAGGATGAGTTTGCCGGCTGTTAGGACGAGTCTGTAATTTTTTGTTTGTTGTTTAGTACGACGAGGTGTGGAAGGTTGGGGTTAGGATGTATGGTTGGGTTGGGTTCGGAGTCGGAGTCAAAGTCGGGGTGGGTGGTAAGTAGGTAGGTGGTTGATGATGTGGTGGAAGAGAAGACAAGCGAAAGATCGGTCGGTTCGGGTCGGTTCGGGTTCGTAAGGGAAAGGAAAGACGGAGGGAGTTTCTTCCAGTCGGATCATCGAGTGGGAACAAATAGAAGGGGAAGTACATACTCCTTCACCTCGGCGATGTTGCCCGGGCGGACCTGTTCACAAGTGCAATCATTAGCAAGACTGTCTTTATTCTCTGCCATTCCCTTTCCATTTCCTTTTTCTATCCCCAATGATTCTTTCCAAATGGACAAAACTCACAATACCAATAGTCTCATACAACATCTTGTCTGGTGGTTTGAGGCGGCGGACAATCGGCTCGGGAAAGTAAAACGCAAAAAGATGTTTCGCAATGCGATGCGATTGCGACCGGCCGAAAGCGCGTATAGTAGTGAACCTTCGACGTCGATAAGAAGTTCGGAGCCCCACACCTGAACCCGTCCCGTCCAACAGGTAGGTACCGCTGTGGCTGCTGTTGTGACCGGGCTCAGCAAGTACTGTAGGGCGTGGTGGGTGTTGCCGTCAGTGCCGCAGTGCCGCAGCGGGTTGGTTGCGAGCGGGTGTCCGGGTGCCGCCGCTTGCTTGGAAATTTTTGTGGGGTCCAGGAAGAAGGTCGAGATTCTGCCGCGTTGACCGCCTTCCGGATTGGGGTGTACACACTTCATCAAGGGTGGGAGGGAGGTTGTTTACTCGACTCTTCAACTGTCACCTCGGTGATTGTAGAGACATCTGTTGGCTGTAATGGTCCTCTAGAAAAGCTGTTTTAAAAGTTCCTAAAGGGTCATAATGTGGTCTAGAAGCAATGAGAAAGCAGACTTGTTCCAAAAACATTCCCAACCGCTTCATGCACCTTTGAATGGTCTTCAGGTTGTAAATGCATGCTCTTATCGGTATTGTGTATCCGGAAATGCGCTGTGTAAATGTATTCTTTGCTCATCGTGAATCAACCTCCGGTCTTTCGATGCGCCGCTCTACCGCAATGGTAGAAACCTCATCAGAGATGATAGATGCAAGCCAGACTGCCATGAGAGCCCCCAAAGTCTTCCCACCATCCGCTGGCAATAGCATGGCCCTCACTGCTTCTCTCCTTAACCCCTCTTATCCTCCCTTCGCCAAGGCGAATGAGTCCTCACTAACATCCTCATAGGCTCCCCCCGTATAACCACATCCACCCACTTGACTTCATCCTTACACTCCTCCCACGGATGCTCACGACCAACTTTCTAATAATCCTCAACATCCATCTCCTCCCCTCCTGCTGCCCCCGGTGCAGGCGCCTTGGCAATCCCCTGCTCCCTGCACCAAAGCACAAAATCGTCAATCACGCCCGGCCACGCCTGATCCTCGTTCCAGAACCCGAGCGTCTCATCCACCATCGTCTTCTCCGCAAACGCCAGCGTCTGGTTCCACATATCCTTGTTGACGCTCCTTGTCCACTTCTCCGCCAGGAACCGCTTCCACGCACCCAGCCAATCCACGTTCTTGCTCTTCCACGGCCTCGGTCCTAGTCCTGTATCTGAAGACTCGGTGCCCAAAAACAAATCCCAGAATACCAAGGCAACGTCCTTCTCCAGTGCCTTTTGGGCAGGTTCCTTACCCAGGCCAAAAGCGAACTGGTAGACTTTTTTGAAGTAAGCCGGGTTTTGCGGCAGGTTTTGGATGCACATCCGAACGTAGTTTCTGTGGTGGGCCTGGTCTGCGGGAATGCGGTGATCGAGGTAGATGGAGGACCACCCCTCGACAAAACCTTGGCGAGTGATTTGGCCGATGGAGTCGGCGCGGACGATCTCGAGGACCACAAAAGCTTCAACGTTTTCGATATTGGCGCCCATGGAGGAGATATACGCTTGGGCGGCTTCGGCGCCGATGGCCTCGACGGGTTTTCCGGCTCCAGCTGCTGCTCGGTCCTCGTCTGTATAGATGTTAGTACGAGGAGAATGAGAGGCAGAGGGAAAAGAGACATACCGCCGACCAGACGGTCAAACAACTGATTCAACGCATCATCTGGGCCTCGCTTCCTTTCCCGATCGTTCATATACCTGTAGTCGAAGTCAGGTTAGTCCTCCATTTTCAACCTGATAAAATCTGAAATCAATAAGCAAGGCATCTTAAGCCATCACGGACTCTATTTCCGGCGCATTTTCCAAGGGTGAAGTGGACATTCCCTTGGGATCTATGCGTGGACCCAACTCCTCATTGCTAGTCGGTATGACAGTTTTTGTAGACGGCAGATCCTCCAACTGAAGAGGCTCAGGCACGTTGTCCGCCGTTCGGGAATATCGGGGGTGAGATTGTGATTGTGAGTGGCTCCCGTCAGTCTCAGTCGCATCTTCGCTTGGAGTAGCCGACTTTGCGGGTTTGCGTCCATTCCTCTTTCGGAAACAAGAACCAAACAGTTTCGAAAACATGTTTTTCGTATCTGAAGAGCCAAGTGGTGACATCTTGAGGCGCAAAAGTGGTAATAAATGCCTTTGATGGGAAAGGGGTGTCGCATTCTTTCGTTTGGGAATGACATTAAGGTTGAGTTGGGGGCTCCACTGGAGAACCACGGTGTGCATTGAAATGCGTATTGGTTGCGTGGTTGCATTTTCGGCGCCTCCCTCATCTCCCTTCTTGTGATGGTTTCCGACAAAATCAGAAAAGAAGAACCCGGGGTTGGAAACCAATGCTGACAGTTGACAAAAGAAACGATGACCCGAAAGAAAAACCACAATATGTCCCCTTTAATAAGACATTGTGTCGGGACATTGATCCCTTGTAGTATTCATTGGTCGTAAACAGCTTGTAGCTGTAGGGAGCTGTAGGGAGTTCCGACCCGAACGACCGTCGTGGCCGGCTTCGACCCGGCCCCAAAACAAAACCTCCCTCTCATATTCCAACGTATGATTTCGAAGTGATACACACACGGTATGCGGTGCGCCGTGCAACATTGCGAATGCACATGGGGTAAAGTCGGTAGTTGCAAGAAGGGACGAGGACGGAAGAAGGGACCTACATATTCGCAGCAAGTTCGACACTGTAGTTTGCATTTCGGAGGTACTGTAATCCAAGTTCGAATATCAGCTTCTTGCACTCTTGTTCATAGTCGCACTCGCACAGTCGGACAGACGGGTATATGGCGTCCCAGCGGGACAACACTCTCCGAGGTCTCTTTTAATCCTTCCCTGTGACATTGGACCTTGGACATTGGACTTTGGTTGAACTCACCCGTTGCGCATTCTCCTTGGACGCATTGGTGACCGCGACAAACTGGGCCACCTTTTGCCTCTGGGTGGCCGTTGAGGGCAACCTAGAGCTACTCATTGTGGCTGTCTCTCTCAACGTTCGTTTTGTGTGGTTGGGGGTTTCGTCGTTCGTTCCGTCCTTCGAGCGCTGAGCGGAAAAGAGACGGGACCGGGAAAACTATGGCGTAATGCGAAACCACCGGGGTTGGGCGTTATTTCGGCTTAGTTGTGTGTGGTTGTCTGACAGACATAAAATGTCGCTCTTGCAAAGGTAAGAGGGAGCTTGGTGCTGTCGCTTGTTCGAGCACGAGTGAGGTGATCTCGATCGGTTTATGAGCCCAAAGTCGTCGCGGGGCAGGGCAGCAAAGGCCGATAAGGGGGGATCGGCTGTTTGTTGGTCTGGTGATGTGGCAGACGGATGAAGCTTGAAGCGCTCGCTGTTGGACGGGTCGCGTGTTGATAACTGCGCGCAGATACGAGCCGAGGGGTGGGTTGAGCTCGAAGTAGCCAAATCGTGAAGGTGCCGTGGCCGTTGATTTCGGTTTGCAGGTTCGTTGCCTAGATTCGTCCCTTCTTGCGTCTTGTCAAAATAGGTAAAGATCGGGAAGGCGGAGGGGAGCGACGGGGGTTTAGGGCGGACACTCCACTACTAATCATCGCAGCGAAGGGAAGCGGGACGGAGGGGCCCGCGGCGGAGGTTCGTAGGTACCAAGGAAAGCCCACTACAGTACCACCACGGCCATTCAGCGCTATGAGTCCAGCTAGGTAGGTGAGGCTGAAGAGAAAACGTCATGGCGGGGGAAGTCACTGCGACCATAGAGGTAGCATGCAGTGCCGGTGCACCCGACACTCTTCCGCTACTGTACCGCCAGCTCGTGTGTCCGAGTGCCGCCGCGGCAGTGGTGTCCTCCGGGTCTTGGCACGAATCACTGGATTGAGACGGCCGACCAATACCCCGGAATCGGCTTGGGCTTCTGCAAAATACATAGGTAGATAGAGAGATCACAGCCAACGAGTATACCTCCGTGGGTGGTATAAGCTGCATCATCATCTCTGGTGTTGTCCATACCTCTCTTCAACTTCCTACAGAAAGTCCCTACAGACAGACCATACACATACAGCTCAACTTGACACAAAGCAAATCATATGCAAACGCCATAAACATGAGTAACATAACAAGTCATACATGAAGAACCCCAAACCAAACGTCATCCGATCATACCGTACCCCCCTCAATCTTTGCACATGCCTGGTAACTGGTATCCCCAAACCTTCCATCCCCATCATGAAGCTGTAACCTTCTTTCCCTTGTCCATAATTCGTCATCAATCTCATCAATATCCGTCAAGCCCAGTGGACCACCCCACCAGCAGAAACAATCCTCCCTGTTTGACTGGCATCTCTGTCGTTGACGGTGCCACTTCTGTTGTTTTCGATTCCTGCAGGTCTGTAGAAGCTCCATTGCCGATAGCTTGACCTGTTGACCTTCATCGTATTGCCGCTTCCCATGTCGCTGCCTCTGCTTGGACCACGAACAGTGCGGCCACCACAACCCCGGATGGTCCGACCAAGCCCATGCCTCTCAGAGTTCACCTAATCCCCAAGCGGCATGCCTTCCAGATCATCTAGCAACCTTCGCCAGTTGTCCGCCAGCATCTCCGAGTACTTAACCCGCTCCTGCGCCCAATCCTGCGTCAGTCTCGACACGTTATACTGCGTGTTCTGGAAAAATCGAAGCTCGTCTCTTATGCATTCCTTGACGAATACTGAGCGGTTGTGTTGTGTGACAATGGATTCCTTGTCCTATTTCAGGTGTTAGTAGAGTGGCATTGATAAATGGAAAAGAAAGACATACCTTGATGATCGCCTCTACAACCCTCTCCTTCTCCCCTGGCTTAACCATCCCTTCTGGCTTTGCATTAAGCGCTTGCAACTTCGCTTCATTTGTCTCTATGCGTCGTTGCAGGAAGGGAATATTGTCCTTGTCGAGACGATCTCTCCTGTCAAACATATCACGCAGACTGACTAGCGCATCTCGCTGCCTCTTCAAGTCCTCCAAAACACCCTCTTCCCACGCCTTTGCTTCATCCTCCATCAAAGTCTGTGCGGTACGTAAGTGTCGGCCCATGGCTTGCAGCCCGTCGTTGAGAAGTGGCACGTCATTGTGGTCGGTGGCGTAGGTATCGGCACTGGTCTCGGTGAGTGAGATCAGGGAGACAGCCATCCTGGCGTGGTCGGCTGCTACGCCTTCTGAGCGCTTGATGAGACGGTCCATGATGGTGCAGGTGCTGATATAGAGCTCAGCGCTGCGGCGGACGCCGGCTCGGGTGCGCGCAAAGAGCTCCTCTAAAGTGGGGGGAAGCGAGTCCTCGAGACCGGGTGGTAGTGTGCGGCCGGTGAACTCGTCCTGAACAGAGATCGTAGCTTGCTTGCGCCAGACCGACAGTTCCTGAGAGCAGATCATTAGCAGCTGCGTGGGAATCACGAAGTGTGAGGTAGACATACCGTAGGTACTGTCAAGAACATAATCACCAGCTGCTCCTGACCCAGAACCGGGTGACGCACAAGAGCGTTAAGGAACCTAGCCAGCCCGCGGCGGCGCTTCTCGATAAAGGCTCCATCGTTGGACAAATGGTTGCCATTGACTGTCTCTGTTAGCGTAGCCCATGTCCTTCGAAATGATCTCCAACTTACAAGCAACCCGCTTGGGCGGCAACAGCGGCAGCACCCTAAACGGATACCGCTTGTGCAAGCAATCCAATAACCATACAAAGTCGCTGTATCGTCGGACGACCTTACTGCCACGTCGTATGCTCGAGACCTCGTAGTTGTGGTGCTGGAACATGAACACGCCCTCCTTCTCTGGCATCAGCGTCACCAGGATATTCTCCTCCACGTTGCTTCCGGACCTGACATGTCCAATGCTTCGGTTGGGATTGGAACCACCGACTGAACCACTGACAGACTGACCAGGTCCCCCACTATCACTAAACGGACCTGTGATAGCATTGTCTGCTGGCTCGCCGAACCCTCCTCCCGAGGAGCTGCCGGGAAAGTAGTTCCAAGCGCCATTGCTTTCTTGAATTGACTCGGCGACATTGTGAATTGAGCTTGGACCCGAGGGTGGTTGGCTGGTGGTGAAAGTGGAAGTTGTTCGACCGGGCAAAGCACTACTGGTGGTCGTCACCTCGGGACTCGTACTGTATGAAACAGCGTCGTTGCCGTTCAAGTCAGGACCGACCGAGCGAGGGACGTCGGCGGCGCCGTTATGTCCCGTCGAGTGTTCTAATGGGCCATGGTTGTGGCCTTTGTGAAGATCGGGCGCGTTCCACGGGTCCTCGGGATACTCCATTGAAACCTTCCTCAGCGTGGGCGGCTGGTGTTGCTGCTGCTGCTGTTGCTTGGGAGGAGACGAGGTGGGGGCTTTTGGTGGTGTGACGGGTCGTTGTGGAGGTTTCGCAGCAAGTTCAGACAAATTCGGCAGCACGGGCTGGACGTTCTCGTTGACAAGACCTTGTAGTTTGGGCTGGGGAAGATCTGGATAGCGGTTACGCAACGAGGTTAGCTTAGTTGCCATGACACTGAAGAACTAACGGACCCACCCCCGATGGCGTTGACCAAGGCGATTGCGGATTGCGGAGCGCGCGAAGCAGTGTACTAACATGGAAGGAAGATGATGTATGTGATGGGGAGAATATGGTGTATTTGAGAAGCAAGACACAATATCAGTGGTATCGGCAAAGCACGAAGAAAAAAAGACGGACAAGCAAAAGGGTTAACGGAGTCGGCGGGAACAATCAATCAACAAACGGGGGATTGACATATGACCGCCATTCGAGGTTCGTCTGGGTTGCAACGGGGGTTGGGATGGATGACCAGCCAGCAACTGGCTGAAGAACCGGAAAAGTAAAGGCGCCCCGGCACTTTGTTGCGACGAAGCACTGCAGGCAGAAACGTATTGTAGACCGAAGAGAATACACAACCGAAGAGCAGGATCGGACAATGCCGGCAGAAGGGAAAGAAACAAAAATAAAAAACAGGAATCAAAGAAAAAACTTACTTCGTCGACGTTCATCCACGCCATCCAAGCTGGCGACCTCCCCTTCTTGGACAAGGCCAATCAAGGCCAGCAAGACGTTGAACTCGTTCCTGCCCAAGTCCCCCAAGCCAGCAGCAGCAGCAGCAGCAGCGGAGCTGTTAGCCTCCCCACCATGGGCACCATCACCCCCACCACCAGCGCCTGTAGCGGAGGCCGAAGCAGGGGCGATGATACCCATTATGCGCGCCTGGTCATCGGCGCCAAGCTTGGCCGCTGCCAGCGTCCGCGCAACCCCCCCGGCTGTGATCCGCCCATTTGTGCTCCTGTTCTCTGTACGGACTACTGCGTCGAACGTCTCGATATAGCTCTCGGGAACGTCGCCCGAGGGGAGGAGGTTGCGGATCAGATCGGCGCGGCTGCGCTGCTTGCGCGGGGTGGGCATGTCCCAGGGCGAATCGTGGTCATCGTCGGCGAATAGCGCACTGCCGGAGCGAGTGGTAGGCGCCTCGTTATCGAAGAGGGTCGAGCGGCTGCTGTTGGCGATCTTGGCTGGGTTGAGGGCGGCCGAGCCGTCGTCGGGAGGGGAGCTGCCAAAGAGCGACATGTTGTGCTGGCTGGCTGGAGCTTGAAGGGCGGACAACCCAAGGTAGGTAGGTTCAAGGTGTAAGTCGGTTGGAGGAGTGAAGATGTTCGGCGCAAGGCGAGGTTAAAGCAAAAGGTGAGGCCACTCTGCAAGGCTCGGTTTCTGCAACAGTCGGCGCAGAGAATCTCACTAGCAGCGTCGCAATGCGACTCGTAATCTGGATGCAACGGAGGGCTGTTGGATGTAGGTACCGCCACTGGTAGTGTAGACGTAGGTATGTAAGCTCAGGATTGGCACTGCAAGGAACAACCCCAATGGGCCAGGGCTGAAGATGGAAGAACCAAAGAGTGAACAAGTTAATGATGAGATTATGGCAACCTCAGCCAGAAGAAGAAGAAGAAAAAGAAACACAAAACGAAGAAAAAAGTTGAAGCAGGTCGTGATGTTGACAACGACAAGATTTGGTCCCTCCCTCTCGAGGAAAGAAAAGTCAAGATGCATCAATGATGACGCCGCGGCGGGCAGAGTGGAGGGCACGCGCCGACTCCAAGGCTGACACAATCCCGTTCGGGAGGGCTGCATACAGTGGCTTCAGTGGACGGTTCCCCCTGTGGAAGCTGGAAGGAACCTGGAATGAACCACCCAGGATCGGGACTTGACCGGGGGTAGCTTGCGGGATTGACACATGTCACTGGCCAATGGCTGTTCTTCCGACTGCCAGGTACGAGACAGCAAGTCTTCGAGATCCGTCGTTTGGACCATGTCACCACGCAGCCAAGTGGTATTTACTTTATAAAGTCGATTTTCGGACTACGATGGATCGCAAAAGCAGGAAGACGTCAACCAAGAGAGTTTCATGATTCACCTGCGTTGTCAGCAAGTGGAGTGTGGCCGCATGTGGGAATCCACTCCGTAGGTGAGACCTGTATGATGTACAAGGACCCAAATATAACTGATCCGAGGGGCAAGACGCTGGACTGACAATACGCGGATGATAATAATACAACACAAAGTACAGAGCCATGAACGGGCCCAGTACCTATCATACAACAAGGAGGAAGAGCGCAACAACGAGTTTTGGAAGGACCGCCATCCCAGGCAATGTTCGTGTTCATTAGAAGAGCTTCTCCGACGCCACATCCCCAGTCTTGCTGGCCTTGACCTTGTCGGCCCTGACCACCTTGACCTTCTCGCCGCCCGTCGGTACCTTGAAGTACAAACTGGGCGACTCGCCAGGCGCAAGCTGGTGGCTGAGGTAGCCCCTATGCGCCGGGTCTCTGTAGTACTCGATATCCCAACGGCTGGTCGGGTCCGGCAAGCGGTAGTACTTCTTCTTGAGCGATCGCGCCTGCGCCAGGATCTCCTCCACGTGCTCCTTGCCCACCGGCAGCGGCTTGTCGGTATGAAGAGACTTGCCCTCTACCAGACGCTTGAGCGATTCCTTGGTGTAGAATCGGGTGGCGATCTTGCCGCCGGCAGCCTCGATGGCCTCGATGGCAGAGGCGGACGCGCGCGACACGGTGATGGTGACGGGGATCTTGAAGCTCTCCTTGCCGCGGCCGAGAAGCTTGATGCCGTCCTTGATGCTGCTGCCAATGATGCCGGACTTGATGATCTCCTTGGGGGTAATAGGCTTCGTGGGGTCGATACGGCCGGCTTCGATCCATTCCTGAAGCTTTTCGAGGTTAAGCTCGGACATGTCGGCAGCGAACCTATGATAGACACAAATGTTTAGTCTCTTGCAAGTATCTGGTAGGTATAACTCGTATCGGACAGCATATTGGAGAGTTGTTGGACATGGCGCATAGCAAGAGAGGTAGGGAAGTCGGGGCGGCGTACTGGTTGACAAAACCCTTGCGGCCGTGAGAGACGATCAAGGGCGTCTGACCACCCTGGAACCATGGCTTGACATGACCGTGGGCCTTCTGACCCTTGGTACCGCGACCGGCAGTCTTGCCATAGCCGGACGAGGGACCGCGACCCTTGCGAATGCGCTTGTGGTAGGCGCCCCGGTTGTCGGACAGGCTGGCGAGGATGGATGCGCTCCTGGTCTGGACGGAGAGGGCAGCAAAGAGCGAAATGAGGGACGACGTCGGCGACGAGGCTGGGACCGAAGGGCGGGCTGTGAGGGAGGCCTGGCAGCATCGCGCCGCCTGGGCGAGCGGTAACCTGGGAGGCATGTCGGAGGCGGAGGACACGGGAGTGGGTTGGCTCTGGGTCGGGCAGTCTTCCGGATTCCGTTCCTCACGGCAACGGCACTTTCCTTCCCCAAAAACAAAAGTTCAGGACCCGCGCCCAGCCAAATTCCGACCGCCTGCGTCGCGGGGGTGGACCGTGCGCCCTCTTTGGTCCCGGCTCGTCGGAGACAAAATAAGTGAGACCAGCCAACGGGCTAGGTAAACCAGTCCACTACCGCTCGTCAAGATGAAAGAAAAGGCTGTTGTAAGATTGTGAAAGGGATTATGATACTTCGGAACGATAGCGGCTAGAGTCCTATTTGTGTATTTTCATTCACAAATTACTTAGAACTTAAGACCAGAGGTGTTACAGAGACGCTTGGATACGTAGTGGGAGTATACCCAAGGTAGAATGTCAAAGATCTCACCTATTTTGTCCACGACGAGCCCGGTCAATTGCCCGATGGGCGGCTGAGTCAGCAACCTGGTCCACATCCGACGTCCTTCGCCAAGGGACCGTGATGCTCCAAAATATCCATGTTCGATATCACTTACACGGGATATGCAAGAACATGTCAAAGGTTCAGTGCGGTGAAGGTCCCTAAGAGTGAGTGTATTGCTACTCAACAGGCTGAAGAACTCCTGATGTGAGTTTGGGGAATTTTTCCACCCAGTCGGAATGATCACTATTTGAGTGTCTCGTGGCCATTGGAGGTGCGTTGAGAAAATATTGTGCAAGTACAACTTTGGGATGCTCGAAGTATTGCCTTTGAGAGCAACGCGAAACAGGCAGCCAAGAGCAGTTGATACTAAAAACCTATGATGGATGGGTCTCAACTGCGACCTACGCTAGAACTACACAGAAGTCTTGAAGTAGGGCGTGTAGAAGGGGGTTCTGTGTCAGCCCTGAGCCAATCGAGCTGGTGGGGTTCGGGAGTGTTGAGAATGGTATGAGTGACAAAGACGCTGGAATTGCCTGAATGTTACTTTGATTTACTGAAGGTGGTTGTATGGCTGATGCAAAAAATGTAACCGTTAACCCTTCTTCGCTGTCAGACACTAACGTTTACTGCAGAACAGAGCAAGGGACAGCGTGCAGTCATTTCGCAGGATAAACATAACCGATTGTGATGGAACTTTCCAAGTCAAGCACAGAGCGGGAAGCGCCGCTCCGGAATGGTTTTTCACTCAAGTCTGTCTTAATTCCAAGCATGGAATGTCAGTCCCAAGCCCGAACCACGCGCCAGGTACCTGCCACCGCTCCTGCCACCGGCAACCGGTCGGCACGCCCTTCACCGAACATCGACTGACAAGATCCCTTCCCGCCCAGGCCACAAACTTACCCTCTGCTGTGGCCTGCAGGTACCATATGAGGTCCCGTAACTGATCCCTCTAGCATAACGGGACTCTGTGATCTTATGGCACAGTGGTTCCCATTGATGAAAATGCGTGGCTTTTTCGTAGGTCTGCAGCTGGGATATTGTCGTTCGTTCTACAAACTTACCTGGGCGACCGAGCTTTTGCTCTTTTTGTTCAATTGGACAGCCTCTCAGGGCCTCAAAAATGTGGTCTTTGCAATTTCTGCATTGCGTTTTGGGGTTGATAAATGGATTCGTTTGCGAGCGGGAAAGATCCAATGGATGTGGTCGGCATGTTTGCGGCAGCGACCTGATCGTATTTGTGTACAAGTGAAGCCCTCACCCCCCATGGACAGCACCTTCCTGTTAGGAAAGCAATTGGGTCAATTCAGTTACGACTTAAACGCCATAATTTTCATTCACGTTACATGTGTTTACGGTTCTTTCTTTGGTCTTGATTCATGTCTTCAAACGTCGTTGTCTCTATGGATTTTCATGATGTCCACATCAATATCTCTCCTGACTGCCTTCGTTCTCAATGCCAACTGTCTACGCAACTCGCCTTCTTTGTACGGCGAATGAGGTGCGACATACTTTCCTTGACATCTCCCAAGTGTCCTCAGCAACTGTCCGAATTTCACGGGATCATAACATCAACTTGTAGGTCGCCATCAATAGATTATGTCGATTTTGAACCTGTGACCCAACTTTCTCTTCCCGCTGCGGCACATAGCATCTTCTTCTTAAGTTGTCTTGCTTGATCTGAACATGAAGCGGCTCAGCTGTGGCAATGTTCCCAACTTCGTGTGAGTTGGGATTTGTATTCTCACCAGGAGTTGCCATGTCGCATGTTCTTGGCACCAGCTCCGTTCGATAGTGGTTTACGAAAAAGAGGTATGTCCTTTCTTTTGTCCCAGCGTGTTGTCCCCTTCCCTCTAGCAGATCCGGTCATTCATCGATGATCTCGAAATGGGGGTTCATGCAGGTGTCTTCTCGTGCTTGCCTGCCAACAGCTGACTTCTTGACGCGCCTTCTTTCCCCGCTACCATATCCTTCCAGGCCACCAACAGACCCCAATCTTGCCCTCAACCCCTCATCACTGGGGTTTGTAGGTGCGCTTTCCCGGACTAACAGTCACCACATTCAGCGGCGGCAACATGGTGCAACGGTTAGGTACCTCTAGGTTTAATGTTCCTTCACTTCCTGTCATTGCGTGAGTTCGTGGGCTCAATTCTCAAAGGTTGCCAATGTCTTTCCGGACTCATCGGTCATTCGAAGAAGCCCAGACACAACACCACCGCAAAGTGGACACACTCAGGGAATATCGCAACCTTATGCTAGTGAGCGGCTCTTTCCTGTCTAATAGATTAAGATGATCATCGATTCCCGCTAGGATCGTCTTTGGGGCGTGCAGCAACTGATTTGTATTCTTGACCTCGATGATTGGGACCGGGCTGCGCCATTGAACGAACCACTCCACTATTTCACGACGGCTCCCGCCTTGGGGTGCCACAACATCCTCACCCCCTTGTGATAAGGAACGCTGAACTGTCAACATCTTTTACAGGAAGTTGCAACTTCCACCCTGCACATACCTACCCCTTGCACTCGGACTTGAGCGTTATGACAATCACCAGATTGGCACGACGACCTCCTTGGAAGTTGTAGCCGGCCTTGTTCGATGTCGCTGTATTCTTTCCGACTTTGCAAGTTATTCTTCATTCTCCTTCGTTGCTAGCTCCCCTCTGTTCCTACTCAATTCAATCTCTCCAGCTCAACACTACTATCCAACAATCCCCCATTTACTGTCATTTCTTTGCCTCTTGGAGTGTTGGACCATCAAAAGCTTAGTAGAACAAGTCCAAGGATAACAGTATCACTTCCGAGGTGTTCTCGAAACACATTCATCGCTACGCTATCTAAATCTCTTCGCTACCTTTTTTCAGACCTCCAGCTCATCATCGTACGATAACATCCAAGAAACAGGCCCAACCTCCTTCAGATATTGTGTTCTATCCTCAACGAACTAGAGTGTCACTTGATTCGTCACAATGCCGGCACAAAGCCTCATACCGGCAGCAAAGAAGCGGTTAATGGAGAAGCGTAAGACCGATTTTCTGGTACATGTTGAAATCATCAGATACATGCTCTCCAGCCTCCAGGATTACTTCGGCTCAAAAAATTGGACTCCAAAGCTTTGTCTGAGGTGGTGTCGTCAACACCTCAAGACTGTAACCGAATTCAATCTCCTATTTTGTGACGGGTACCGATGGCAATGGCGATGCCTTGAGGTATTTATCACTTCCGACCTGTAAGTGATTCCAAATAGTAAAACACATTAATTTGCCAGGCCCGTGCTGATGGTCAAACAGGGTTTCTCGTATCCTTGAGCTGGAACCGAGCAACATCGACACATATGATGCCGCATCGTCTTTCCGTCTCCCGAGCCAAGAAGATGAGGAAAGGCCGAGTCGCCAATTTATATTACAAGAATTTCGAAACATACTTGCCGCTGACGATGCCGATGGCGAGGGAGCTTCGATGTACCCTACGTCGCTTATCCGGACCAAAACCCTTGCCTATTACCTGTCGCTGAGCCCTGGAGACCCTGGCTACGAACTCGGTAATGCAAAGTCTCGACTTGATATCTCGTACGCTCTTACGGAAGCCCTCAGCTTATTTTATAAAACAAGCATGATGCCAAGGCCGTGGACAGAAGACACCATTGAATTCATGGTCTGCAAGGAACATGAAAACGGCCATGAATCTGTATCCATAGTCACCCGCATGCCTATGATATCCGTTCCAGATCCCACGGAAGACGACATATCAATCCTGACTTCTCTTTTGAGGGCGCAGTCTTTGGAGGGCCCAAAAGTTCCCGATATCCCAGCGCCTAAATTTCCGGAGATCAAAGCGCTCGGGGTATTGCTCCTGCAGATTTGGTTAAACATGCCCATGGCGGAGTTAAGCAGCCAACATCCCGAATTCTTTCAGAATGGCACGGTGACTAGAATCGGAGAAACAGCTCTCTGTCACTCCCTAGATACCGGCATTCTCGAACACCTCTCTGGAGAACTGCAGCCCATATGCAAAGTCGTGGAAAGATGCTTCAACGATGAGGTATTTGAGGGGCGCGAGGGCATAGAAATTGATATAGAAATTTACAACCAGTTGCTTGTACCATTGGAACATTTGAAAGAAGCTTGGGAGGCCAGAGAAAGAGAAGCCGAGAAAAGCGACGAAAGAACAGACGAAAAAAGCGATGAGGAAAGCGGCTTCGAAGAAATTGAGTGGAATGGGGGAGAAAGAGTACATCCAACAGCTTCCACAGAACTTGGGAGACATTATCATTGGAATGGGGGAAAAAGAGTACATCCAAAAGCTTCCGCAGAACTTGGGAGACATTATCATTCAACTCCATTCTTCAGGCTTCCGTACGACAGGCGGCGTAGGCCTAAAAACTGAGGTCCTGGGGCAGTATCAGAGAACTCTCTACTACGGCATTCTAGTCGGGCGCTTGAGCGCTACATCGAATGTAACTTGGCGAAACAGAAGAACAAAAGAGAGCCAGCATTCATAGACTTTTGACGACAACACAAATGCGCTGTGCTTATACATCTAGGGGCTTGGCTGATCATCAGTCTTGATGGTGTCGTTCGTAGAAAAACATCATACGAGATTTTATGCGACACTACGTACCGCTAATTTTTTTGCCCACAGTGCAGACCTCAACATCGGTCAACCTCAGAACTCGGTCTCGTTTTCGTGATAACCAGTCTGTATGCCGTCCATCATGCCCAACTCAGACCATGACAACCTAGGCCTAATGAGAGTGGCCCCAAAATTCATGTCTGGTGAAGCACGCAGTCAGCCTAATACTAGGCAACAGGTCTCAACTGCGCTTTGGAACGATGGGAAGACTAAGATGTGGGAGACGGGGAGGTGAAGTGAAGAGGAACGGAATAGAGGTGGGTGGTGGATGTAACGCTGGTACCGAGAGTCTGGATACCCCAATCGCGATGTTTCCTTTGGCGGCTAGTATCCTTGAACTTCAACACCATTGGCTTTGGGATCTCCGCTATAAGCGCGCCTATTTTGGGAGGCCGTTGAGACCCAAATCGCCACCGGGGTGAGTTTCAGGATGATGACGATCATGTTCATGATGTTTAGAGGTAGTCTTTATGCTTAAATATGCGATGTCCATGCCATAGCTCATCGCAAGTGCTGTGTTCACCATCCCTTATCGCTTTCCATTAGATCAGCTTCACACCTCATCATTGTATCTGGTTCTTTTGATAATTACATATAATACCCAACATCTTCAGTTTTCACCATGGATAAATGCTGGTTCACCCTCAACAACGCACACTTCCCACCGCCTTCCCTCGACAGCATGCGTTCCGGCCACCCCATCTCCCCCGCCTCCCTAGGCCATCTCATCCCCTCCCTCAACCATCTCGACTAAATCATCAACGCTGATGCCATCGAGCCCTTCCCACCCACCATGGACATCCACGGTCCCACCATAATAGAAGACTTCAAGTGGGACCACTCCCACGAGTACTCGCTCTCGCTAAGAGGCAAAGTCCCCATCCCCCTCGCCGCGGCTGGTGTCCCCTTTGTGGACCTGGGCGTCGGTTTGGGAGGGGCCTTCAGCAAGAGCGTAGCCAATTACTGGGAATTCGACCGGCTGGAGAGGTACATTATGCAGCCGACGAGGAGTTATGTGCAGAAATGTATTGAGCGGGAAGAGGTGAAGCGGTGGATTGCAAAGAACAAGAGCATGATGATGATGGGCAGGTGGGAGGTGTACATGATTACAGGCATCATTGTGGCGAGGGGAGGGGGCAGGAAGACGAAGGAGAAGAAGACGGGGAAGGAGTTTTCGGTGGAGGTTACAGTGTAAGTTCCATCCCTTTCGCTGAACCGCAGCCAGCACCCGGAAAGTCCCGAGAGTTCGTCGCGAGTCCTGTCGTCGGGTTAGTCCCGTCGGATTCTCTGTATCTAGATGATGATGAGTGCGTTGTCGGGTTTGGGAAGGGGCGGCGGGAAGCACATCGATTGCGTGCATTGAATGTGATGCGCTAATGGGGACATTTTTTCTGATAATAGGGAAGTGCCGCTTATCGTTGAGGCTGGGCCGGGGGTCAAGAGGAACATGACGAGGCAGACGACGTGGGGAACGAGTCAGACGGATGACTTTGTTTGGGCAGTGAGGTTGGCTAAAATCACTAAGAGCGGGTTGCACTCGGACTGGAAGATGGAGACGGTGTTTGGAAAGACATCGTTTCGCGGGCAAAAGGCCATTTTCTGAAGGAAGGGAGAAAGTGCGGTCTCTTGGATTCGCTGTATGAATGAACGTGTAATTGTACTTACCTCAGGGTAATACCTCCAGGCAAACAGGAGATGGAAGTTGATGGCAATTATGGACTGAGGTGTTGGGCCTCATGAGACTGGGTTTCGGACTAATTTTGCAGAGCCTGGTTTGCGAGTTGTGAATTTAGCAAATGGCAATGGCATGGATGTGACTTGGGTGCTATCCGATTTGGGTTCTGGGAGAGGTTCGAGTAGTCTCCATGTAATACCGAGTCTTCTTAAACGAGCATGCCAGAATCAGCCACATCCCGAAACCCAGGTCGGTGTGCGAGATGGGGATCTAGCATACGCTGTGTGTAACGGACGAGCAGTTGCAATAAGTACCTCTAGCCTACTCCATGCAAGGGACGGGAGGATTGCTGCCAGCTATCGGTCCATGTGTCATATTCTCAGTCAAAACACCCTCTCTGATTCCCGTCGACCCTCTAGTATAAATGCTCCGTCACTTGCTTCAAAAGTTGGCCGAAAGTTGTATACCTCCTCATTCTCCACTGGACCTTCTTCACAACATTCTACAATGGCCTGAATTTTGGTGACTTCTTGAATACTACAAAGTGCGTCAAGGAGGGTGACCTCAGACACCAATAACGTATTCTTGTCGCACATTTGAAGCTCCAGCCTTTCAGTCATTTCTTCCTGTTGTTTTTTTCTCCTCACCAAAACAAGCAATCTCATATTGGCATTCTCAACCAAACATTCAGCATGATCCCAGAACCTAAAGGTCTACGGTGTTACGCAACCCTCGGCGTCAGTCCGCACGCAGACTCAAATGCCCTTAGGTCGGCTTTTCGGCGTCTTGCGTTCCAAAAACACCCCGACAGAAACAACAACGTCGTGGAAGCAACCGAGGAGTTTCAGCATGTAAGTGTCTCCCCAGATCGTTTTTTCTTGGTCGCCGTTCCTGATCCATATTACGAGCAGCTCAAAGAAATTTGGGACTACCTAAGCAATGACGCCTGCCGAAAGCAATATGACCAAATAGTCGGGGCCGCCTACACTCGGATCACTCTAGAACTGGATCAATCCTACCGGAAACTGCACGAAGTGAGGCGGAAGATCTGCCAGTCACAGACACACCACACGGATCCGGTGACAGATGTTGGCGGGCACCACCAAGAGGCAACATCTGACATGAACAAGGAGTCGCAACTTTTGGAGCAGATCAAGGTAAAATTGCAAGACCTGGCCGACTTGAATGGCGAAATCAGACAAGTCCCCGACTTTACGCGGTATACTGATGTCGGTGTTCCGGGGGCCGTTGACTTTTGGCGCTCTTATGCTACAGTTCTGGAGCAACAGGTTGAACCTCTGCAGCAGCATGTCACCAGTCAACAAGAGGTCCTTGACTTGGTAGAGACAGAAATGGACCGACTGAGGGCAGAGAACCAAACGCAAAGCCACGAGATTGCGAAACTTGGCCGAGAAAATGATTGTCAGAAAGAGCTTGTACGGGAAAAGACTGTTGAAGTGAACGCACTCAAGGAGCAGATTTGTATGATGGACGTTGAGGACAGTAAGCGGAGAGAGCGCTCGAACAAAGTTCGTGAAGGGAAAGACCAGCTGCGAGTGTTAAACAAGCTTCGCAAGGAAATCAAGGCGTTAAAGAGGAGCGGCACCGGAAGCAGGCAGCGTTCAGCATGTTGGAGGAAGAGAAGAAAGGACTGGGAACGGAGAAAGGATGGGAAACGGAGAAGAACACCTTGAGGAACGTCCAGAAAGCGGGCCTGTGAGGAGCAGCAACAGCCCCAAAGATAAATCGACGATGCCGCTGGGAATAAAGATCACAGACTTAAGGCCGAGAACCGCAGGCGGGAGCTTGAGGGCCGGGAGCTGAAGAACGGCACAAGGACACTGGAGGAGCTGAAGCGGGAATCGGAAAAGAAAACTGACGAGGCCTTGGAGAAAGCGACAGCCACCAGCAACACGAGAAATGGGAGTTGCTTAACGAGAAGCAACACAAAGAGATCAGAAGCTGGTAAAAGATTGAGGTCGCCCGAGGCAGCAGAGGAAAGCACTACATCGGTAAGAGGGAGTAGTTCGACAAAGCGCCCTAGATCCGGTAAACGGTCTGACTCGGACGACATGTTCATACCGTCGTTGAACATGTCCAGTCGCGCATCACCCAGTGGGGGTCTGGACTCGGTGAATGATGGCAGTGTGGCTGCCGAGGGGATTGCAACCGTTTGGAAGGAAACAAGCTGAAAATCCAGATAGAATCAGTGGTAGGAGACATACGAAGAGCAGCGGATGACGATGTTGCGGAGATCGATGGTTAACGTCAGGCGAGAGGATAGATACGGTAGATACGACAGATTGTGATGATGAATACAACCTTGGAGGTAAACGTTACTCTAGCTTCCTAGGTATAATTCGATGACATTATGACAGGAATTCACTAGATTGAACCTTTGCATTTTGTCTTTTCCGCTTGCCTCTGTCCCATTGAACATTCTCTAATGCATATGGCAGACTGATGCGAAATTGGCGTCTTTAAATAAGTTGTCAGTTATTGCTTTGCTTCTTGAAAACAACGATGATAATGCAAGTCCGGCTTGAGTTGCAACGGAAGGTGGCATCAATTCGCGTAGTTACTGGCCGGGTGAACACGGCGATGGGGAAGAGCTGTTCAAGGATGAATCTTTCCTCGTAGCTGGCGCCTGGCCTGGCCAGCTGTCGCCTTTTAATCTTTTCTGTTTCCCTACTACCTCGACTGGAAACAACGATGACGGCAGAGCCTTCCTCATAATTTTTGGAAGGCACGGCGCGTGAATGATGTTGGTTAAATGAACCCATCATTGAGACTGTTCCCCGAAGCTTTCGTTTCCTCTCTTCAACAACTTTTATCATCCTCCCAGTCCTCAGACTTAGCCAAGCCCCAAACCTCCTTTGGACCCTCCGAGCGACAAACTTACTTTCCATTCGCTGACGGTCTGTCAGCGTTCTTTGGATATCTCAGCTTTCTTTACACCGTGGGTCGGCGAGCGACACCAGCGGATTCTGCGAAACGACGATTCGTTTCTCAGCGGAAAGCGTTTGTTCACCGACGTACGTACCCAGATATCCGCCGACAATCCCCCGGACACCGTGACATCAAGTCCCCACGAACAGATCTAGCCTGATCTACGTCCTTACAGCTTCTAAAAAACAACACACACGGCAGTCTTGCTTCCAGAGCTAAGTAAGTGGCTTTCCTGGAACAACCTGTGCTTGGTTGACTGACACTGCAGAAGCACGCAGATCTCTGTCCCAGCTATTCCGGTCCGGTGTACTGTGAAATCCGTAGCCAACATGGCACCACCCAAGATCACGGTATTCGACTATTACGCAACGCTTGGGGTCAGCCCGTATGCGGACAAGAAGGCCATCCAGAAAGCCTACCATCAACTCGCTCGGGAGATGCACCCTGACAGAAATGGCAACAGCGCAGAAGCAACCGCCAATTTCCAGAAGGTTTGACGCGGTAGCTTTTGTCAAATTGTACACGAAGCCATGGCTAACAAATGTTACATGACAGCTTGTGAACGCATACGAAGTCTTGACCGATGCCTCCCGTCGCACGGAGTACGATTTCACCGCCGAACAGGAATACATCCGAATGCAGGAGCAGTCTATTGCGCTACAAAAAACCCTGAGAGACAGGTCTCAAGGTACGGCAGCGGCAGACGCAGAGTTGGTGTCCAACCACCAGAATATGACTAGGCTCGCTGTGAAGATGTGTGTTTTAACAGTGGAGCTCAAAACCATTCCGGATGGGCATTGGGAGAAGCGCGAGCAACAACACCAGGCAGAGGTTGCGGAACTGCGCAAATCCATTGCATTCTACGAGGAATCTCTGAAGATTAGGTTTCAGCACATGCAGAAACTGTCGACTGAGCTTGCGCAGGAGAGAAAGAAGGCGCATGATGCGGAGACGCGCTACGCGAGCTTGGTCGAGGCTTTTCGCAACCAGCTCACGACCTACATCAATTTTGATCGGTTACGAAAGTTGCTCGGCATCCTGGATGATGAGCTCCAACCGATTCGCCAACTTGCCTTTTGGTGTTTGGGCGCTACCGATGAATCTACCAAGGTAAAGTTGCCCACGCCAAGTGCACCTCTAGGAAAGTGACTTAGGACGGTTAAGACACGGCTCTTATGGTGACTGTGAGGCTAACAGTTGTGAAGTCTGCCGAAGGAAGCGAAACCGGGCCGACCACTTCTGAGGGTAACGGTGGTGAATCAACAAAGGAAACGAAGCAGGACACACCGATGGTCTGAGCAGCTTGACAAAGCGGTGGCCGCTCTTTTTGAGTTGTGCAGCTTGACCATGAGATGACGATGAGCCATGATTTTTGAGGTACCAGGCGAAATACGGATCTCGTTCAGGGGCAAAGTAAACAAAGTTGAGTGAAACATGGCGTGTGGTTAGCAGGGAGAAACAACCTTTTTCTTGGTATCTTGGTGTTTATCTATTTTGAGTACCTTTAGATAGAGGTATGTAGCGGAACAGCCGACCAGCGGTTCATCGACCAGTTTTTTGCCGTTCATGAAGAGTGATGACCGGTGTGAATGATTCAAGAAGGCAAATCGCTGCTTGTTGAACCCGGATCGATCACTCCCTTTGTGAGTAGAGGGCAAATTCGTGACATGACTTTGAGACATGTCGTGGAAGAAGCATCGGAAGACGGCGACGGGAACCTTATCTAAGATGTAAGACTGGGTGCGGATGCTGGGATGTCCTCCGCCATTGCGTCGGAGATATTTTCCCCAGCTTGCGAGCAAGGGAACAAAGGAAGCAAAGGGAAAGTGCAGGATCTTCCAAACTGCGAGAGGCGAAATAGTCCGAGTCATGTAATACTTTCTCTCTCGTGCGTAAGAAGAAGCCGAGGAAGGGGAATAAGAAAAGAAGAAAAGAAGAACAGACGATTGGTGCTAGGAAAGGTTGGGAAAAACGCCCGGTGCGTGAAACTTGGCTAATCATTTTGCTGTCTTGTGTGTTGGTGTTGAGGATGCAAGGTGTTGAGCAGTTGAGGCGACGATGAGGCGCTGTGATTCTGTGAGTGAGCGGCGGTGTCGTGATGCGGATGCGGATGCGGTACGACCTGACGCTGGAATGCACGCTGTACATAGGAGGGTCAGGTAGCTCTGGTGGAGTGGCGGGAGTCGGGTATATGGTTGATAAATCTGCATGGTAGTGTCTGTGCACTTTCGATTGACCAACGCAGACAAGTGTCAAGAGGTGCTACCTACCAATGCAGTAGTATTTACATGTCTGATACCCGAGAAGACACAAACGATCAACGGGTACGTAATCTTGGAGCTTGGGTACACTACAACTAAATTGAACTCTGCAGACGTCGAAGGGAAGGGAACCAGCAGGTAATCACATGCGCGTCACGATAATCAATCAAGCCACCATCTCATCTCATCTCAGTCCGTTGTTGCTTTGCTTTGTACGAGATGGAAGAGCTTCAATTAAGAGAGGAAGATCTTTCATTGGAGAGAGGAAGATCTAAAAAGAAGAAATTGGGAAGAATTACGGTAGTGAATACCAGTTCACCGGGTGTTAAACCTCAACCACCTACCTAGCTATTCCTGACTAGGGAGCCAGGTATCGCAAGATGATACCCTTGAGAGACTCTAGTGAACTCTGATACAGTGGGCTCTACACTAGTGAAAGCCGGAATGCGACAGTGATTCCGCAACGGTGATGAATCCTATATCACATGAAAATCACACTTCCCTTGACTAACATGTCCTTCTGGATCTTGAACTACCTTGGTACCTACTAATACATAAACGAAAACTAGAGGGAGATTCGAGACCTTCCCAAGTTGCGGCTCGTTCGCGGTTCGGCGGCTCAAACCCTTGCCGCCTACCATACCAATGTGATCAACGATATCACTTGCTAGCGCGCTTCTTTCCCTACCTGAGATACCTACCGAAATGACTGTTAGTGGGTTCTGGTAGTCTGATTGCAACTCATTGAAAATTCAGTGTGCATTTGGGACTGTTTGAGCCGATATATTCAACCAAGGACTTCCCACTGTGTTTTTGGTGGTCAAGGAATTGGTTGCTCACCAGAATCACCAGGCCGGATCGAATCGCGGTGAGTCTGCAAGTGATTGACTACCTACCTAGGAAATTCACGGTTCAGCTACAGCATATTCCTGTCACCAACCGATACCACAGTCAAGTCTGGTCAGTCGTCATCCGATAAAGTGATATGAGATGAACGCAACGCTGCGGCGAGTGCTTTACGCTGCTTTCTGTGACCCTAGATAGTCTAGAGGTACCCTAGTGCCTAGGTCCAGGTCCCAGGTCCCAGTTCCCAAAACTGTCCCCAAGCTGGATGAAAGTAACAACCGAACCACACCAAGATGCGATTGTCGGATTTTTTTTTTCGATTTTCCATGCTGTGCCATGCAATAAGATGCGTCTTGCCGGTGACCAAGGACATGGACATGGGAATGGCGGTGCAAGATCGGTTCGGTTCTGCTGTGATCAATCACTCTCAGGTTGCTGAACCGGGAACAAACCCAACAAAGATCATAGATCATGCCTCTTCCCGTTCATGCATTCGTTCCATTTGCCTGCCTCTTCCAATTGCCTGGCTGCATAGATTGAGTTTGTGGATTCAATGTGATTACGAGATCCAGCTGCTACGACCCAAGCAGCAAGGCTCCCGGGGTAGCTTCCGAGTAGGCGAGGGCAGGATCTTGCAGAGTCATACCATACTCGGCGACTGCCCGGGGAACGGACGGGGGGGGGGGGGGTAATAGACCGGGGGTTAGGTACTCCTCCCTTCTTCGGGGATGGATAGAGGTGAAAACTGAATGAACAGAAACCATTCTCAGCCGCACCGTCGTCTACACTACAGATTTTGCTTCAACCCCTGTTTCTTTCTCACGGATGAGATCCAGTGGGCTGATGGCTGGAGGGAGGCGCTTAGCACTGCAAACCACTGCACAGCATCACTTGCATTTGCATTTGCACTTGCGTTCCGGGTTGCAGTCTTGCAGCGCTCACGGTGTGGAAAGTACCTAAGTGACCTTGCTACACACCGTGGGGCCGGCAAGCTACATGCTAGATGAGCGAACCAACCTGAAGCTGGATGATCGCCGTTCGCAGATATATCGAAGATTGAGGGCTTCCGTGTTCCATCGTTCATAGGTAGGCGAAGAGGTGGCTATCGTGACTTGTGATGTGACATGGTGCCATCATCCGCCGCCCCCGGTGCCTACGTTCGGGCCGTGGGGATGAACGGCTCCTGATTCATATCATGGATTGAGAAAGCAAGACCCCCAAGAGCACAAGCTGATTAAGACTCGAGATGCAGGTTACGGAACGTGGCGCAACGAGGCATTGGATGTGCGTGTGCCTTTGTTGGGGTCGGTAAGTCACAAGTCTGGGTCAGATCCAGACGGTCGGGACCAACACGGTGAGCGGATAGGATGTAGTGGAAGGATGTGGTCGTTTTCGTACTAGCGGTTTGACCGTCTGATATCTGATATGGTATGTTAGTTTCAGTAATGTTGATAGAGAATTGGACTAGACTGGATCTTGGCCGTCAAGGTTCTAGGTTGTAGAGAGAGACACTACAGTATGGCACACCAGTCGCCAGGAGGGTTCTCATCGAGTAAGTGGGAATTTCTTCCCAGGCAGATGTGGCTACCTATCTTGTCGAGAAAGGACGATGGAGATAGATGTATTAGCTGGGACATAAAGAGACATGGCCCCTTGCCTCGATGATTGTCTGCCCCAGATCCTCCAAGACAAAGAATATCTCGCCGCAGATCACAACATTCTACCTTGTTCTTTCCTATAGATATCCTGGTTGATACCTGCATCTCTTTCCTAGATTCAAGCCGGCAGCTACCCTCGACGTCTTCATGAGAGTTGCTGTCATCGGAGGCGGTCCTTCCGGACTTGTCACTCTCAAGTACCTCCTTACCGCGCACCAGTTTCTCGGAGTTGAACCCATCGAGGCTCACCTTTTCGAGAGTGACGATGCCGTGGGAGGAACATTTTATGCCAGGACCTATGAAGATGCCGAGGTATTTGCGACCCTTCCCCAGATGTTGCCTCCAGACACTGACCGTCCTTTCCTCAGCTGGTCTCATCAACTCAACTCACCACCTTTTCCGACTTTAGAGCCTCAAAAACCGATGGAGACTTTATGTCCGCCAAGCGATATGTGCAATATCTCAACGACTATTGCACGCATTTTAACCTGTGGCCCAACATCCACCTCAACACGCGAGTCGATTCAGTGACAAGGATGCTCAAGGGGAAACATGTCGTCACTTACACCGCCAAAATAACTGGAGAGACCTCGGAATGGGAATGCGATGCCATAGCCGTCTGCTCCGGTCTTCATGTTACTCCCCATATCCCCGACATCCCGGGTATCGAACACGTCCCCGTCAAGATGCACTCATCCCAGTTCAAGGAGAAGAAACAGTTCGGCGTCGACAAGACGGTCATGATTCTCGGTAGCGGAGAAACAGGTTCGGATCTTTCCTGGATGGCAGTGATTTCGCAGACCAAGCGAGTCGTCATGTGCCATCGAAGTGGCTTTCATTTTGCCCCAAAGGTAGATTTTCCTGGGCCACAAGGGCTGTTGTTCAGCGCCATTTGCATACCCTCAAACAAAGAAGTCTGGATGAGCTGTGCTGACAAAGGAAAAAAAAACAAAACACACAGAGAAACCTCAGTCCTATCCTGTTTCCCATTTTGGGCTGCAAATCCAGTGGTGAGCTGACAGTCCCCTTGGACAATGCACGTGCAAGCCTGTTTGACACAGCTTACGTCCATCCCTTGCTTCGGAACCACACGGCGCTCTGGACGTTCTACAACATTTACGTACGGACGTTTCTGTGGCTGAACACGGGCACCCCCGAAGGATTAGATCAAGTTGTTGGAGAACCTGATCCGCAAAAGAATCATGTCAGCCGAAGTATGTCCTCCTTCTTACAACCCCCCTCGGCCACCAAGATTATACTAACTGACATATAGTCTTCTTCAACAAATCCTCCAACGCCGCGCCCTACATCTCGTACCCTTACAAACACCTACAACCCTCCCCCACCCCTCCCACCCTTCTTTCGAGGATCCGCTCCGCCCTCATCGGCTCGACCCTCAAAGACACAGGCGGCCGGTACATCGACCTGGCGCCCTGGCCCCAATCCATTTCTTCGCAGGGCATCGTCACCTTCCAAAACAACCACCGGCCCGAATGGGAGCGCATGCGCCAGCAGACCATCAAGCCCGACCTCGTTATTTTCTGCACGGGATATAACCAGGAATACCCCTTTTTCACGGCCCATAACGCTTCTCTCTGCAGTAAAAGTGGCAAGGCAGCCCGCCGGTACGCAGTCGAGCACACGGAGCGCGATGTCCGCGGTATTTGGAACCGCGACGACCCTTCAGTGGGATTCATTGGATTCCTGCGGCCCAGTCTGGGCGCCATACCGCCCTTAGCAGAGATGCAGGCCCAATTGTGGATTGTGCAATTGGTTGCTCCCCATTGGATTCCGCGGCCGCTGGACCCAAAAGATGAAGACCATTATCGGTTGCGGCACCCGGCTGAGAGCAGGGTCAAGTATGGGGTGGATCATGAGAGTTATGTGTACCAACTTGGATTGGATATGGATTCTGCTATGGGGGTCATGGAGGTGTTGAGGAGAGGACTTTGGGAGAGGGGGGTGGGTGCTTTGTGGGAAAGGGGGGGAGGTGATGTGACGTGGAAAAAGACAAAGGAGAAGAGGAGGATACAAAATGGGTGGAAATTGCCGCTTGTGTGGGGACTGGGAGCGAATTATAATGTCAAGTTTAGGATGAAGGGGCCCTGGAGGTGGGAAGGCGCGGAGGAGGTGATGGAGACGGAGTTATGGAGGATGATTAAGCGACGGAGATGGTTTTGGGAGCATTTCTGTTTGAGTTTGTTGCCCATGATGATCTTTGGGCCGGTGAGTCTGTTGGTGTGGGTTTATGCTAGTGTTGTTGGGGTGTTGGTGGGGGTTGATGATTTGAGAAAGAGACAGCAGGAGAAGAAGAAAGGACTCGGAGTGAAGGGGGAGAGGGGGATGGGATTGGGATCGAAGAAGGAGATGGTTAATGGGGTGGAGGGGAGGTGGATGAGGGAGAAGATGCCGTTGGAGGCGGAGTTGTAACTGAAGGGAAAGAGAAGAAGACGAGGGCTAGGATAGATGGGCAGAATTGGAGTTGGGGGGTGCAGGACTGGATTGGTTTATGAACGAGAACTTGCACATACCAGTACGTGTATTTCTAAACTGCCAGGAATTGTTGATAGACTACTATTGAAGGTCTTGAGATGGTCATGAGGAATATCAGAGCTTTCGGATGACATTTCCATTTACCCGTGTATGATGTGCTCGGTACCAGTAACATCCCAACCACTCCGAGAGGTATACTGGACATCCAGCAAGCCGAATAGCAGATTGACAATCGGTAATCTGGATCTACCAACGTTGTGTCTTGGTTTGTCCTACCATCGGCCGTTCAGCCTAACAGTTTAAGATAGCACGACACCTGCCGGAATGTTGTGATGGACTTCTCAAAAAGCGATGGAATATAATCGACGGGATAGCGGGGCCGATTATAACATCCCATTCGTCCTTGACGCATTGGAGTCATAACGGTCAGACGAACACCCTAGCGTCAGGTTGACATCATTAAGGTGAATTCACCAACCAACTAATGTTGGGGTCAGCAACGAAAACATGGGGAAGTCACGATGCCTTTTTACCTTGTGTTACTATTGGGAACATTCCTGACCAAAGCATCAACCTAACACCACCAACAAGAACCTACCAAATCAGATTTCCCACACCACGAACAGGAGATGCTTTCCCAAGGCCTTCGTCTTTCCGGCAACATCATCAGACGAATCGTCAGCGACATGGCGAGCACAACACCGGGCGTCTCCCTCTCGGCGGCTTCCCAAATGCCCCAGGGCAAGCCGCACTCCATCAACGAGTACGTCTCGGTCAAGAAGCCACCCCATCTCGACCGTCTCACCGCCACCACCCACCAAGAATCCACCATCGAGTCCGTCACCATCGACGTGGACGACGCCCCCAACGGGTTTGTCCCTGGCTTCCTGCACATGCCGCCCAACTTCACCGCCCCCGACCCGTTCCAAGTCCACCACCGCACGGCCGCCATCCTCCTCTCCGGGGCCGGCGGGGGCGTCACGGGCCCGTCATCCATCTACCTCTCCTTGGCTTGCAAGCTCGCCACGCTGTCCTCGGGCATCCCGACGCTCCGACTCGACTGGCGATACCCCGCCCGCAGCAAGCATTGCGTCGCTGATGTCTACGCCAGCATGAAGTACCTGCAGGACTTATACGGACTCGACCGGTTCGTGCTGGTCGGGTGGTCCTTTGGCGGCGCGCCGGTCTTTGCGGTGGCAGGCGCCGATCAGCGAGTTATCGGGTGCGCGACGGTAGCGAGCCAGACACTGGATGCGGAAGAGGGGATTCGCAAGTTGGCACCCAGACCGGTGCTACTGCTGCATGGCACGGGAGATAGGACGATGAGCCCGGCGTGCGCAGAACGGTTGTATAAGATGTATGGAGAAAAGGGGGATAGGCAGATGGAGATGTTTGATGGGGATAATCATTCGTTGATGGGCAATGCGGGGACGGCGGAGGAGATGTTGTGTGAGTTCATTGCGAAGTGTGCGGGCGTGGAGGTGGATGAGGGGTTGAGGAGGGATGTGGTCGAGACGGAGCTGGTGGATGAGGAGGAGAGGGAGGATTTGATGGGGAGGGGAGGGGATCTTCGCGGGTTGGAGAGGAGGGAGTAGTTGTCGTAGGCGTAGGTAGAATCCATATCCTACTAGGTATGTGAATGTCGTGTATGTTGTGTTGTAGTCAGTGAGGTGTTGAGGTGGTGTTTGGTGTTGAGGTTTGAAGAATGGGGACAGCGCCGGGAATACGATTGCCCCCAAGTCCAAGTAAAAGTCCCGAGGGGGATTGCCCTGCCAAGACCTATGCTGTTTGACAAGCCGCTGAGGATGCGGGGAAGAGGAGCCTGAAGAAGCCGCGGGTCCCCACATTTGACCGCTGACCACGCCGTGTGTGGAATACCTCGCTTTCCACAACAATCATTCCGAGACTACCACCGCGGCAACACCATCATCACCACACCCGGGACGCTCCCGAACCCCTCGCGGCACATGGATCGCCGGCGCCGCCATCACGCCGTCTGCTACCGATCACCACCGGATCACCGGGCACTCTGGGAACGGGAAGAGTCACGATAAAGAGCCCGTCATGGACGCCCACCATTTGCAACCATGAAATATACCCTTGTACCCCCATATATACACATATAGTCGCACCATGTCATCGGATCAAGAAAAGGTCGACGTCCTCATCTGTGGCTCCGGTTCGGCCGGTCTCTGCGCCGCCGTCTGGCTCGCCCGCTTCGGTATCAACTACAAGGTCCTCGAGCGCCGTGATGGGCCCCTCAGGATCGGCCAGGCCGATGGTGTCCAGACTCGCACCGTTGAGATCTTTGACAGCTTTGGCATCGGCGAGGAAATGGTAAAGGAAGCCTACCATGTTCTTGAACTTGCTTTCTGGGCGCAAAACATCGAGGGCGGAAGCAAGGACAACATCAAGAGGACACGCTACGCTCCCGACAAGGAGACCGAAATCAGCCACCAGCCACACGTCATCCTCAATCAAGCCCGTCTCAACGAGTTGATGATCAGCCAACTTGGACCTCAGCCACCCATCCAGTACAGCACTGAAGTCAAGGGCGTCCAAGTCGATGAGTCCGTCAACATCACCGACCTTTCCTCCTACCCTGTCCGCGTCGACGCCGTCACAGCCGATGGCATCGCCAAGACCTACCGCGCCAAGTACGTTCTAGGCTGCGACGGCGCTCACTCCGTCATCCGCAAGTCCCTTGGGTTCAAGATGGTCGGCGACAGCACCGATGCCGTCTGGGGCGTCATGGACATCTACCCGCGCACCAACTTTCCTGATATCCGCAAGAAGACGGCCATCAACTCGTCGGTGGGCAACCTCTTGATCATCCCGCGCGAGGGCGATGCCATGGTGCGCTTCTACATTGAACTGCCGGCGGGGACAAAGGCGAGCAACGTCACGCTAGAAGACCTCCAGAACCACGCTCGCCTGATTTTTCGCCCTTACGAGATGGACTTTGCCGATACCTTCTGGTGGTCCGCCTACGCAATCGGTCAGCGAAGAGCCGATTACTTCCACAAGAACCACCGCGTCTTCCTCACAGGCGACGCATGCCACACGCATTCGCCCAAGGCCGGACAGGGCATGAATGTCAGTTTGCAGGATGGCCACAACATTGGCTGGAAGCTGGGCATGATTCTCAAGGGACTGGGAAAGCCCAAGCCGTTGTTGGAGTCGTATGTGATTGAGCGCGAGAAGACGGCGACGGAGCTGATTGAGTTTGATCGCGGGTTCACGAAGCTGTTCAATTCCAAGTATAGGGAGGAGCATGGCGTCAGCCAAGACCAGTTTGCTGAAATGTTTGTCCAGGCGGGGAGGTACACGGCCGGACAGGCGATTCAGTATGATGCTTCGGGGGTGGTGGAGGTGGGGGAGCGGGATAAGGAGGTTGTGAGGAATGTGACGGTGGGCATGAGGTTCCCGACTGCGCAGGTGGTGAGGTTTTGCGATGCCAAGGCGATGCAGTTGGTCAAGGGGCTGCCGGCGGATGGGCAGTGGTATGTTGTGGTGTTTGCGGGGGATTTTCCGGAGGAGGAGAACAAGGCAAGGCTTGAGAAGGTAGGCCGACACTCCTTGAACTGTCTGACATGCGCATGACTAACTTCGCCTCTAGGTCTCGCAAGCCCTCGACAACATTGTCAAGCGTTTCACTCCTGCCGGCGCTTACTCGGACAGCGTCATTGATCGCGTGCTTGTGATCTCCGGTGACAGGAAGAAGGTCGAGCAGGAACAGATCCCAGAGTTCTTCACTCCCGTAACAGGGAAGTGGCAGCAGAAATGTCTGTTCAAGGTGTATGCTGATGATGAGAGCTACAACACTGGACATGGCCATGCCTATGAAGCCTACGGCATTGATCCAGCAAAGGGAGCCTTGGTCATTGTTAGGCCGGATCACTGTAAGTTTTGCTCCCCAAACGACACTTCCTTGTCAAGAAGCGCTTACTTACGGAGGTAATCACAATAGACGTGGCAAAGGTCTCGGCACTGGATGACAACCTCGAGCAGTCAACACAGCAGTTCTTTGAGGGCTTCTTGTTGCCACTAGCTTAGTATGGGTGTCAACTTCCAAGCAAGTGGATGTAGGATACGGAAGAGCATGGAGTTGAGGTTCAACACTTGGAATATCAATTTCGTCAAACTAATCAAAAGAGCATAGGTATCCATCCAGACATCCGAATTGCAATACAGACAATAAATACAAGAACGAGTGTAGTACATAAAGGAGACGTGAAGCAGAGAGAGAGCACCGCAGGCTCAAACCATTATCAGTCCCACCGGTCAGAAAAACAAGTGTGTGTGTGTGTGTGTGAAGGGAAAAAAACAGATTGGAAACCAAAGAAACAGCAGTCCAGGGCTTCCTTCCGACAATGACCACTCTCCATTCGACAAAGCAAGCCCCCCACTAGACTGCTCTAGCACTTGTTCACCGTGATAAACACATTCCACCTCTCCTTGAAAAAGACTTGGCCACCAATGCGCGTCTGGCCACCCATGTACTTGAAGCACTTGCCCGTAAGGAAGGCGGCAGCCTCGGCGACACTACCCCAGGACCGCAAAGTGATGTCGTGGTTGTTCTGTTATTTTTTGTCTCTCGTTAGCATTTCATCCTCTCTCACCTTCTTCTTCAACATGACCAAAGAATAAAGACAGAGACAAGTATACGTACATCATTACAAACAACTATGGCCGAATTCCAACTACAGCTCACGCGACTGCACTTGTTGGCGCCCAAGCGCGGCTGTCCCTTTAGGCCGTACAGATAACTCTCGCCGTCGTGGATGGCGCTCAGGGTGGCCCACGTGCGCGGGGCACCGCAGTAGTGCGTCGTGTACGTGTAGGGGCCGTTGTACGTGCCTTGGTTCCGGTCGGCGGTGGCGCCGGTGTAGTCGGCGGGGTTGCGGGTTTCTAGTAGCGTGGTGGTGTTGAAAGAGGTGGAGAGGTCAATGTCGGTGGGGATGGGGGTGGTGTCGATGTCGTTGTAGGGGTCGAAGGAAGGGGGGAGGGAGGAGGGGAAGGAGAGGAGGGGGGGAGGAGTCTTCATCGGGGGACGTGGGGGCCTGTGAGTAGGGTGAGGGGGTTAGTGGGTGAGGTGAGGAGGGAAATGGGAAAGGAGGGGTGGGAGAGGGGGAAAAAAAGGGAAAAAAAAAAACTTACGGCTGAGGCTGTCGCCAGAAGGGCCGTGAGAGGCAGGAAGACCTTGGTGAAAAGCATGGTTCTTGTTGGGATGACGGAGGTTGGTGGGTGACTGAAAGAGTGTATGATAGATGGATATCTGTCGACACAGAAGTCGCGAGATAAAAGAATGAATGTATCGACTTAAAGACAGAACAGAGGGAGAAGTATCAGCACCCTCGGACTAAGTGTATGAGACAAGAAGGATCTTTTATATCTCTTTCTGCTTCCTAGGGTCCAAGTCCACTGTCCAGTTTTACTCTTGTTCAAGACCACACAGATGGCGACTTTCAAGCCATTTGCATACACACAGTCAAATCGCCTCATCACACCACACAATGCCGAAATATCTTCAAGAATGTCCTCTGTACCCCTGACCAATTTTAGTTTCCGAGATGGTCGAGTATCGTGGTCAAAGACAAAGAACCATCCACCGCGTGGTTGCCGGTGGTGAGCCACCGAGGGGAAGGTAAACAAAGCGCCACAGGGGTTCAACGGTTGTGAATAGGGCTGAATAGGCTCTTTAATACGTATTGTTCTACTTGCGAGAATCTCGCCTCTTGAGATGGGTGATTCATTTGGACGACATTTCTTGCAAAGTTTTTGATGGTCTTGTGAGGCGAGACTTGTGAACAGTGTTTCTTTGGAGGTATTCAGTGATTAAGAGCATTATTGAAGTAGACTGGGTGGGAATAAGGGATCAAAGTAGATGGTAGTTCGGTTCTTTGGGTCTCTGGTAGAATGTGATGTGTCGGGATCTCTTCGGGTCCCATGGGAGACGCCACGGGCTCCGGCTCCGGTGGATGGTCGAGGAAAAGAAAGGGAGAGGGCCGAGGATCCGGGGATATCAATCGGATACTGTCGAGTCTAGTGATGCTGGGTTCTCGGGTAGTGGCCGCCGGATAGCGTCTGTATAAACTCCGAGCAGCTGGCAATTAAATTACCCTGAGAATGACCAGCATAGATATCTCCATGAATCATGACTAGGATACCTAGTCAATAGCCGGTAACTACCGAGATCCCAAGGTTTGCTCATGTTTGCAGTTCGGTCGACTATTTACCTGGACCCTGAACTACTGGTTAAGCAACATGATGCGCAGTGGTTACCGATCCGATGACTGTGGGTTCTTGTCAGCTTATTCGTATTTTATGTCTTGTTCCTCTTTTTTCTTCTTTTCTTCTTCTTCTTCCCTTTTTTACCTTTTCTCTCCGTTGTTCCAACACTTTACTCATTTCTCCCACATCTCGCCAAGACAACCTCTTCTGTTTCCTTCATCGCAAACATGTGTCGGCTGCGACGGGTGCAACACAGACCAGTGTCTCTGGACAATCCATTGATCAATCATCATCCTTCATGCCACCAATTTGGTTTCCCCAGATTCGCTGCAACATGTGCATCTGAGTCTCATCAAGTCTCGGCCCCCAAAATCATAAGTTTCGACTCATTAGTGCTCACTCCATCTGCGAGTCAGACCGAGTTGCCTACCATTTGGAAGTAGTCAGAAGTGCTTCATTCGGACATGTCATTCTCCAGTGGTGGTGTTGATTGGCGGCGATGAAGCCGAGGTTCCTGGCGATCGGATTGGCATCCCAGCCGCTGGAACCAGATCCGGTAACACGCCCGCCCGCCCAGCCTTCCGCTTTTAGCGGGTGCTATCGGGTTGGTGATGGTGTATCCCAGCACAACGTCATCAGTACCATTTTTTCTTTTCTTCTTTCCGATGCTGGTCGGGTAATCCCAATCATCTGACATGCGATGTGATGGACAGTAAAAAGTCTCCGGCAGTTGATACTTAACCTCAATCCCTCCCTCAACCACCTCAACGATCGATCTTATGTTTGTTGACGGGACAAGACGGACAAAATGGCGACCACCACAGATCACCCCAAGATAACGCTCTACTGGTATGCCCATAGTACTTCCCACAGGTGGGCGCTAGATCACTAACAATTTTCACTACACTACACAGGCTCAATGAGTCCCGCGCACAGCGCATGGTATGGCTTCTCGAGGAGCTCGGCGTCCCGTACGACGTCAAGATCTTCCATCGCGGCAAGGACATGCTCGCGCCCGCCGAGCTGGAAAAGGTCCATCCGCTGGGAAAATCACCTGTTGTCACGGTCCAGCCTACTGAGCCCGGCGCAAAGGAGATAGTCTTGGCCGAGAGTCCCTTCATTGCCCAGTACTTGTGCGAACACTTTGGCAAGGACACCACTCTGGTTCCCAACAAGTACAAGGATGGACAAGAAGGAAAGCTGGGCGGCGAGACGGAGGAGTGGATGAGATGGCAGCATTTGCTGTATTATTCCGAGGGCAGCTTGATGCCGCCGTTGCTTGTGGCTTTGATTCTTTCCCGTAAGTTCCCGTCTCTGTTTCCAAATGTACTCTTTCAGGACACCGGGATTCTAACAAAAATTTGGTTGCTTGCAGTCATGTCCGGCCCCAAAGTCCCCTTCTTCATCCGCCCCATCACCGCCACCGTCGCAGGCAGGGTGAACAACTTCTTTGTCGTTCCCAACATCGAGAAGCACTGCGCTTTTATCCAGCAGTTACTGGAGACGTCACCCAACGGCGGCAAGTACGTCTGCGGCGACAAGTTGACGGCGGCGGATATCCTGATTAGCTTTCCGCTGTTGATGGTGCCGAGGGCGGAGGTTCTCGCAGGGGAGGCTGCAAAGGGGAAATTGAAGGAAAAGTTTCCCAAGGTGTTTGACTATGTGGCAAGGTTGAAGGAGGAGGAAGGGTATAAGAGGGCGGAGAAGAAGATTGCGGAGTTGGAGGCCGAGGGGAAGCAGTGAGTGGTGCAGATCCATTCCGGAGCATGGCCGGTAATAAGTGGATCTCGGGGGCATTGCATGTGGGGCCGCTCCGGATGCTTGTCCGGATCATCGATCGATCGGAGGTGGAGTTCGCGGCACCGCTCGCTCATATGAGGATCATTGATTATACTCTGGACGGTTTATATTTAATCCTGGCCACTAGTAATGCGACCGGTGGTGGCTCTGGCGTGTGTGGCCGGGTCTCCGCAACAGGTCCGGGGCAATGCGCAGCATGCGGCCTTTCTGAGACCTTTTCAGCATTCAAGATTTATCGAATATTCTTTTCTTTCCTCAGTTGTGAAGCATCTTCGCCCCATATTAATCCTAACTCTATATGCTTGGCTCAATGTTATGAATGGCAAAAAGAATGATGAGTGGTTGCGCTGTGTTGAACCCTAACCCGCTGTGCAAACCCTACCATACGATTTACCGATCTCGCGCTCTTGACGAGGGTCGTTCCTTCTCCCAAACAACATCAATGAATGCAGCATGATGGCGGGGGTAATCAGCTCACGACGACAACGGAATCGCTCTTTCCTTTCCACGAACAGAAAACAGAATTGATGGTGTGACTTCTCCCTGAGAGAGTCCATTTCCCAGTGTCGGATTTTCGATGCCCTGACCGTTCATTCATTTGTGCAAAGTTCAGTTCCATGCCAATTCTGCGACCCAACGAACTGCGCCCTCGCAAAGCTCACCACACTTCACTCTTCTGCTTTACGATGCACAGTCGGCCTTTTTCACTTTGTTCCAAGATGCCTGAGTAATTTGCTTCTTGACAATCATTTTACGAGGCCATCAATTCCACAGCCAGACTCGTCAAGGGACGAATGACTGTCGAACATGGTACGAAACCCTCCCGCGGAATACTTCCAGCATCCCACGGTAACAATATTGACCACCAAACGTCGTCCAACAGTCACCGAATCACAGCCGCCAACCGCATTTGTCGTGATGCTCCTGCATCTCGATTACGGCAATGGTTTCTTTCTCCCCAAAGAGGCCGTCCAGAATGGCCTCTCGAGGCCTGCGGCCGGCGTGCAAGTCCCGACGCAATGGTCGGGTCGCCATAACGGGCCTGCGGCGGAGCGCAGCATGCTACCAATTTCCTCCACTAATCAACGTCCATGATTCACAAGGCTGCCTTTCCAACTCGACGGATAATCAAGAGAAGCTTCTTCCAGTTTGCCTAATTCATTTCACTAATTGTGCTTCAGGCCCGAATGATCGTCGCGCCCCGTGTCCCTCACCGACCCCCCGGTCCTCGGTGTTACTGTTAGCCTGAGGTGCCTCGCTCTAGGGCTCCGACCTTCGGCCTCCGACCACCGTACAATGACCTATCGTCAAACATCACTACCTACTGATGCCAAAACCCCTTACGAAATAGTCTTGAGGTTTTACGATGCCGACCTGCAGTTAGTGTTTACATGTCCACGGCTCAGCGGTCCGAATCACTACTCTGTTACAAGTCCTCCGAGGCACAGCAGCCGTCCAACGCCGCAGTCATCAGGCGATACCCGCATGCCAAACATGGGCACAGATACCGGCCTCAAGCGCCCGAGACAATGGTCAAACGTTCGTTGGCCACCGCTTTTCGTGATCCTTTGGAGGAAGATGGGGAAGGTTCACGGCATCCGGTAGGGCAGATAAGTGTATCTGAAACACCCTTTGTGGGTTGCCTGGTATGTATTACCTTGGTGGACGAGCTTGCATGTATCATGATATGGGCGTCCTATTGGGGGCAGGTCACTCATCGAGAGAAGGTGTGTGATGGCTCCCAAGGCGACTACAATATGGAGCTAGTGTCACATCACTACGCATACCTTGTTTATATGAGGCTTCATCAAGTGATACAGGGAGTCCTTTCTGCGCACTAACGGGAAAGTGCTGGAGATTATGCAACCCAAGTTTGATAAGACCTTGCTGCAGAAAAGGCAGTTCTTTCGGTCGCTCGTAATCTGTCACCACTTCCTTCCTACCGTATTTTTCCGCGCCATGGTCGTTCCCTCTTCGGCTACCGACTGTGTGGGTGCACGTCTATCAAGGCAGCAAGGCGAAGAAGTCGAATGACAAAAATTATGAGTACCTCCAAGACGTCCCTATCCCATGCTTTAGATTCGTACCACTGAGCCGCTTCCCGATGGAAGGTTACACATCGGGTGGTCTGACAACGTTGACAGGTTGCCTGTTGACCATCTGTTCGCAAAGCAGCCAACGGGAGATGCCGGAGTTGTGAAATTGTGATACACTCCAAATTTTCGTTCGTTCAAGGCTTCATCCATATATCCTGGTAACGGGGCGGTATCCAGATGGTGCAAGTGTACTGTCACGACTTGCTATGCAAGAAAGGTGAAGGTCAAACAAGTGTCTATCCGGCTGCGCTGTTATTCAACCTTCAAGTTTCATGTTCCTGTGCCGCTGGCTTGCAACTCGGCACCAGGTTCCATGTACTTGCACTTTGTGGTGGCCTTGAACATTCAATTTTCACTCTCAGCGGCAATCACCGACTCCAACTGAAACTGCTTTCTACCTTGCATTCTGCTGTTGTCTCGCCTACTCCTCGAACGCAATGATTCTCTTCCTTCTCGTTCTTGTTACACCACCGACGCTGCATCGCTTGCGGTGAAATGGTGGACATAACGCAGCTTTCCTTGCACAAGCCTGAACTCGTGGATATCCAACAATGCCCCATCAGTTCCACCCTTGCTAAAGACACTTACAGCCCCTTAAACCTCATCAATCACATACCTCTTATCTGTATCTGTCTCCATTCAAGCTCACAGGTTGGCACTCCTCGGTGTAGTACACACTTTCATACAGCCGGGCGCACGGGGTACCCCAGGGGAGTTCAAAACTACCGTTGCTGCTCCATAGATCGAGGTACGAGTTGGCCACGGTCTTGAGCACGTCCCGGCTATCTTGCTTGGCCGTAACAATCACGGACCAATCCTCTGCACCAACATATGCGAGTGTCTTGGTGGCATTGAACTGCGGCTCGGTCGAAGAACGTGAGATAACCACGTCTATGATCTTGGCTTTGAGCCCTGCGCTACCAGTGTTGTCGTAGGTAATCTGAGTGCCGATGATGTACGGATTCTTGATATCGGTGACAATCAGTTGCGAGTACGTCTTGCAGTCTTGTTGATCCACAAAAGTGTCAGTGTAGTCGATCTTGAGGGGAGTGGTGAGGAATGAGGTGTTGATGTCGCGCTGCTTGTAGTTCTCGCGGTACACGGGCGAGCTGGAGGTGAGGAACGGATCAACCTCACCATAAGTTTGGGATTCGATCTAGATGTCGGTTTGCATTCGGAGGGCGGCCCATTGGCAATTTCCTGCTCCTCTTTGGGCGAGCGAGAACTGTACAGCGGCTAGGATGCCCAGGGCTGCCAAGGTGTGACAAACCATGATGCTGTGCAGTTACTGATACAATGTCCTGGAACGATGAAAACAAGAAGCACATCAGAGATCAAGTCCATGTGCAGACAGAGAGGTACTAATCTTCTGTGAAGACCAGAGGGTACGAGCTCTAAGCCAAGTGCCGCGAGCTGTTCATCTATCATCGGCAATACCCATATTGTTTCTCACATTGGCGACCCCGCTCGCATATGGGTAAGTCAACTCATTGAAGATGTCCGCTCTGCCTGTCAACTGTGGAATTACCCGGCAACATATGCTAATATTGCTACCAGATATCTGTAGTGGCGCATGCCTACGGATAGACCAGGGTGTTCTCAACGCAGCAAGCTACTTACTGGTGGTTTTGGGCTTCAAAACATTGAACCGAAATCAAGAGAACAGGCTTAAAGGCATGCCCAAAGATCAGTGGCACTTGTTGATGTGATGCGGGAAGTTCTATATCCTCGACTTCAACCAATCCTTTACTGCGGGAGAGAACATGTCGTTGGTAGATACGTCATGAACTATCACATTATTTTTCAGCCGCATGTTGCTTGTGTCCTCAAATGCAGTGTTGTCCTACAAAAGAAGCAAAGAGCTAACAACCGGCATGAAAATAGACTCATACCAACTGCACAGCCACCCGAAGGATTGGACTGTCAAACAAGCTAAACGTCGATTTAGATGCCACACCTTTGTGGGTGGAAGCAGGTTCGATCACCAACTGTATGTCTCGTTTGACTCAGATGCCGATGCAAGACTATCTACAAGTACTGCTCCAGCATCATGTCATAGTACGGTATCTACCTCAGCAGTTGCTATATGGTGTTGGTCGGTAGGTAAGAAATTTCACCCCGCTCATGCGTTTTTGCAACCGTTGGTATCTCGTGATGCAAAATTTGATGATGTATTGCTTGTTGGTTGCTAATATTCGAGATTTTCACGGTCATCCCCCTTAAAAGCTTGACATTTGCACCATGAACGAGCCTTCATGCTGGGGCCATCACAGCCGAGGGCTGCTGACAAGTGGAACGAAAAGGGTAAGTCGGTTCGTTATCACCTCGCTGTTACTGTTGGAAGTGAAAGGATTAACAAAGCTGTACATTAGATCTGATCTAGTCGGGTCCTTCCGAGCCCTGATGATGTCGTCCATCTTGGTAGGATTCATTTTTTTCCCTGATGCGGTGCCGTGTTGTTGTGTGTGCCCCTTCTGTGCATTTGGCGTTGTTTGCGGATAGTTGTCGATCTCGGGATATACACTGGAGAGAGGGGCTTATGACCCAGGCCTGGCAGTCAGTCACTAACAAGCACTAAACTGTCGGCGGATTCTCAGGTCGCGCATGTGCTGGCCAATGAGGCTTGAGGTCGCCGGCGCTTAACGGCATCCGCCATCGACCAACACCACTCCCAAATTCTCGGTTGCAAGAGAGATTTCGAGTCAAGTGTGCCTCGCTGCTCGTCGTTGATTCGCCAATGGGTATTTTACTTCTGAAGATGGTATGGGCTTTTTCTACGTTGTTGCTTCGCCCCTTTGACCTCCATGTCCGCATCTCGAATCCGGAAGTTGACCTCTAAAACGGCCCCCTAAACCCCGGTCCCCTAGCGGCTGAGTGGAGAGGGATCCACACCGGGCCCGAAACCGCGACCCGGAAATGGGAGCCCGTTGAGGGCCCGGACCCCACTGCCGCAAGGCGATGCTCCTGCAAAAGCTCACCACCAGACATGGGAATTGGAGATACTGCTCAACACCACTCTCAGCCCGACCCGAGAGTTTGGTTTGATGGTGTTTTCCTTGAGGCCTTTGAGGGGCACCTGGGTGTCATGATGGAAAACATACCGGGTTCATGGACTGTCACCCGGGCATCGGTTGGTGGCACATGCTATCAGTCCCTTGAGCAGGACTCCAATGTCGTCACATTTGGTTGCTCAGCCGGATGTTGACCTCCTCCTCGTCGACTGCCGGGTCTGTGGTCAAGACGAACTGTGAGGCGGATTGTGATGTGCCCATGGCATTGGCACACTGGCGGCCGTTGACATGGTGTGGAAGGAGACTTATAAAGAGGCATCATGACGCCGGCCATGGAGGTTGGATGGAAGGCATTCAGATCAACATCTATCCTTCAATCGTCTCTCAAGGTTCACTCGAGAAAATCACAACAACAGCTTCACTTGAGCACATCAACTCGGACATCAACCACTTTACCTGACTCATCGGCAAAAAGTCACCTCGGCAAGACCTCGACATCACCACTCATATCAACAGCTTCAACTGCATATTCTCTCAGCTATCACTTGCCCTCTACCATCCAGGACTACAACAAGTCAACAGCCACCATGTGCAACTGGGAGCAAACCAAGTTCGAGGCGTGCAAGCACACCGAGACCAAGCGGATGGCCTACTCGTGCGCCATCTACACGAGGCACACCTATGGAGAATGCAAATTCGATCCCAAGAAGAGCAAGGTCTTTACCGTCATCAGCTACGGCTACTGCAAGGAGTGCTGCGAGATGTTCAACAAATATGTGAATCTATGAGCGCTGGTGTCTGTAGGAGGTTTCTGCTTCGATGGTTGTTTTACTAGGTGAGTGTCAGCTGTTGTCGCTCAATACTTTGGATGATCATTTACTAATGTTATTTCAACGCAGTTTCCATTCAACATGTCACTTGATGTGGTTTCGCTGCTGAGACGATGCGCTCATGCAGTTTTCCTTTTCCTTTCTGTCTTTCGAAACAACGGAAAGTCGACACACCTGCCAGCAAGATCACCGCACAACCATCGTTCACCGGAGTCTTTACTGGTCAATTCGCTGGTGATCAAGATCACTGCTCTCAGCTCCCGGAGGAGTGTCTCCATTCGCGCGGTTGATGTTACAAGGCCAGATGGTAAGGAGTGGCTTGGAGATGAGGGTGCGCTGTGATGCATACAATCTTTTGAGAATTTCTGGCTTTTGTCAAAGGGAGGTAAAGTTGAGTGGATCAACAGAACATTTACAGATGGGAGAAGAGGTTCTGAGGTTGGGACGTGGGTGTGTGTCTTGTGTGCGTTTGGCTAGGTAGAGGTACTGTTTGGTGTTCTCTTCTTGTATCTACCTTTTTGTTTCCCCCCCCCCCCTTTTTTTTCTTTTCTTTCCCTTTGTTTCGATCCCCTTTCACTCTTGATACACTCTTGATATAGTTACAATAAGCTCGGATCTTCATGTTCGTTGACGTTCATAGAGACCGAGCTGCCCAATATACAGGTATATATCAAATTGCGATAAGCCCAATATACCCTATGAATTTGCATCGCCACTTCGTCTAGACACTGCAATCCAATCTGTATCGCTGCACATATTTCATCGGTGGAAGCAAAGGAGTTGGTAGGTTGGTTGTTCCGGCTACCTAAGGGTTTCTCACCGTGATCGCTGATTCCTTGGATACTGCAACCAAGATCCATGCGCCACGATGCACCTTCCAACACGCAAACGCAACTCGCAATGGCGTGCACCGATGACTTGCATGAACAATCAGGCACGTGTGGAACTTTGCACATGCACACGCGTCTGGTCCTAATTGGGATCCGAGGAAGTGAGGTGCGATTGTGAATAATCACCTTGGTACTTACCAGCCTGTTGGTTGGGTTGTTCCTACGCGGTACATCACGGAACTGGGTAGTTACGAGTACCTATGGTAGCTCTCCTAGTTGACGAACAGACGGTAAGCATTGATGCCTCTATTTGATTTGAAGAAAAATGACGGAAGAAAGAAAAAATAAAAAAAAGATGACATGCATTCTTCTCATCAGTGCTCACTCACCGCCCGTTGACGTTCGTCTTATCCTTCGTCTTATCGTTCGTCTTATTGTTCGTCTTACACCGACTGACTGGTTGGTACCTGACTGAGGCGGCTTACTACGTGCGTGCGTGCGTGCGTGCGTGCGTGCGTTATTCATTCCCGCTTGGTTGGGTGTAGCACGAGACTTATATTTGTGGATTCCATTTTCCTCGTAAAGCGGTGGAAGTACTTGGTAAGTGGAAGTAAGTGGGAGTAGGTGGGAGTAAATGTGAGTGGGATTGGGGGAGTGGGAGTAGCAAGGTGGGAATGGGACTGTGGGATTACATCAGATTTCCATTTCATAGGTAGCATTAGATCCAATCGCATTCTCTCTCATTCGCCATTATTACCTTATGGAACGCTATCTACTACGTACGTAGTATGTTGCGGGCGAGGATATCGAGGTATCGAAGTGTCGAGGTTGTACAAACACGTGCTTGTGCTGGTACCTACCGCAGATAGTGTAAGATGTGAGGTGTCACAAAGTTACGAGGTAGGCGGAAAGGAAAGAAAAGAAACTTAGGTGATACGAGGGTTTGTCAGCACCAGACCAGTATCAGTAGGTATGTAAGTATCGGCATCAGCACTAATGTTCGATCCATACGGAAAATATAGATTATACGTAGGTATCAACATCAGCACTAGTGCTAATAACTCGTATAGAGGTAGGTACGCGGTATTTTTACCATCCATTACGGGACGGGTATCTCCCTTGCGTGCTACATGTAGTATCATTCGTCTCGCACGCAATCCATCTTTCGGATGGCCTAACCGTGGGGTTCGACATATCGTAAGGTATCCTCACTTACATGTTACGAAAAACGTGGTAATTAAGTCTAAGGTAGAATAGAGGTATTCAACGTTATAAGTGATAGGTAGATAGGTCGGTACCAGCTAGGTACCTATCATATAGGGCTGTCTGTTGTACTATCTCACTTGAGCTGTTTATAGTATGTACGGTACCTTCCTCGCCTTTTTTAATATAGTACTGCTAAAAGTATAAAGTAGGTACCGATCGTGACTAGCCCTACATACATAGGTAGAGGTAGGTATAGTATCGGGCTGTACTGGAAATATCGTGGGTAGTGGGTGGTGTACACATTATTTGGGGCCGGAGAAGGAAGGACTTGCGACAATGAGGGGCCATAGCCTAAGTAGTATAGTAGTTTCATTTGCTGCGCTTGCCTCTCCGCTGATATTGGTTGGTTTAGTTCCTGGCTCGCTTGTTTCCTGGTTGGTTTCTGTACTACGTATTCGATCATTGCCGTTCTATGGTAGAAGTACCTCTATTCTCTTTAGAAGCCGGAATCGATGCCTTGCTTCATTGCCGACGAATTGCTACCCCACTGCACTATGTACAGGAAAAGGAGCAATACATACATAGTCATGTGCTTGAACCGTGCTGTTGGTAAACTTGATAGGGTAGGATCCCAGTGAGCTGGAACAGAAGGGAGACGGCGGGGGAAGTGTGAAAGATGGACCTTGTTACCTACTTACTGGGTGTGCTTTGAGCCTTCAATCCACTGAAATTGGAATTGGAAGTTGGGGTTGAGAGTTGAATGTAGATGCACTTCTTCTTCTTCTTCTTTTTACTGTTTTTTTTTTTTTTTTTTTTTTTTTTTTTTTTTTTTTTTTTTTTTTTTTTTTTTTTTTATGTGCGTGTTTCCATGTCCCTTCCTTCCTTACATTCCTTCCCTGCTTCCTTCCAGCAATGCTTCCTTCCTTCCCAGATCTGGCTGAGTACACTACTAGACGTACTGTACAAGCTCCACTTTTTCCCACAACCACACAACCAACGAACATCCAATCCCGATTCCCGAAAACGGAAATTGACAAACAACAGGGGCCTCAGGCAGGCAGGACAGACCTGGCTCAGCGAACGAGCGACGACTCCCGGACAAACAGCCGAGAACAATCATTGCACCATTCCTTTCCCTTCGTTCGTTCGTTATCTGTTGTTGAACTTCTCGAACATTTCTACCGCAGTAGTAGTGTACAAGCATCCATCTGTTCCCTTGACACCGGGGTTCGGCAAGGCAGCCAAGGTTTGAAGTTTGAATCTGGCTTGGTCCTTCCTTGCACACTTACACTATGTACTAGACTAGTATACCACAGTATGTAGTGTACACCACACCACACTACACGACACTTACACCAGACCCCGACCCATGCGATCACCGTCGTCTGTCCGGTCCGGCCCCAACCCTTGCTTAGAAAGGTACCTGCCTCATCAAGTACACCACATTATTAAGATTTAGACCCTGCTTCTTTAGACCCTGCTTCTCTAGACCCGGCCCCTCGTTTCGTACACTAGCTAGACCACCTCCCTACCTACCCAGGTACCCAGTACACGTGTACCGACCCAGGTATCCCTGTCTCTGGAACGTTGGAAGAGTCCGTCTTGGCTCCCTTTCTTTCGATCTTTGAGTTTATTATGACATCAAGTGTGTGGAGATGGGAGCTATTGTTTCGTATATGTGGCTATCGACAAAACTTGGCATTAAGGAAGAAAAAAAAAAAAAAAACGTGGAGTTCCGGCCGGGCGGTTGGCCGGGCAGTGCAGGCGTACCTTGCCTTGAGCATGGATGACTCTTTGGCTGTTCCGAAGTGGGGGAGGGGGAGGGGAGGGGAGGCTCTTTTGTTGATGTTGAGTGCGTACGTGTCTTGAGGGCCTCTGGGCTTCGGTAGTGTAGAGCGAGATGATGATTTGCGGGGGTCATGAGGATGAATGATTAATGGGTTTGGTTTGTTGAGGATTCCATGGGTCCTGGCTGCTGGGTAGGTAGGTATCATGACGCGCAAGTGTTTGGTGTTTCCAGACTGCTGAGTGGAATTCTTTCTTCTGCTCTTTTTAAATGGTTGGTTGGATCATTGGCAACCAAGGCATGTATGTATGCAATCGCTCTTTCGACCTTATCCATAACATCACAGCGAGACCCAAGTAAAAAAAAGTTGTGACCAAAAGTATTGTATCCAAGCTTGTCTCGGGAGAGATGGATTAGAGTTTACCACTAAAAATAAAACAATAAAATGCTTTTTGTTGCTGATGCTATATTGTACAAGAAGAAAAATAGAAGGAGACTTTTCGCAAAACACACAAACAGGTTGAAGAAGAAGAAAACAAGAAGATGAAAAAGAAAAAGAACAAGAAGGAAAAAAAAAAGAAGAAGAAGAAGAAGAAGCAGAAGAAGAGGCTCGTTTTGTTCAAAAAAAAGCATTTTGGACATTCATTCATTGCTGGCTGGTTATTCATTTGTCCCATGTAGATAATAATTCGCATTGCGCGTTCCTCCTCTCTTTCTTGTATGCGTGCGTGCGTGCGTGCGTGCGTGAAAGCGTTGTTGTGTGCGTTTTCTTTTTCTTTTTGGGTGACGAGACGATGGTGATGGTGTACTTTTGGATGATGAAAGATAAAAGGCAAAAAAAGTCGAAAGAAGAAAAATCGAAGAAAAAAAAGGGAATGAAAACGAGGCAAAAAGATCGAAAGAAAAAAGAAAGAAAACAAGGTTAAAAAAAAAAAAAAAAGAGAAAAAAAGAAAAACCAGAAACAGAAACAGACCGAGAAATAACCTTTCTAATCCCAGGGGTATCCTTTTTCTTTTTGCGACAAACAAGACGGAGAGGAAAAAGAAAAGGACTTTTTTGGTGAGAGAGACAGAGAACCCGAAAAAAAATGGTTGTGGAATAATGACACTGTATGGAATGGGATAAAGAAAAACAAGTGTGTAACACGAAACATCGCAGCGCGACTTCAAATCTTGAACACCACGATCACACAATCACAATGGTGGCGTGACTCCGTACTGGTGGTGATACACAGGCGCAATGGTGTTTGGCCTCGGAAGCTTGAAATGCGGGAGGTTCAGACAGTACAGCGTCTTGTGCTCGCTCCTCACCATTTCTCGGAACCCGTCGAGGTCCAGCTGGCGCACTGGCGGGTAAATCCGTGGCCGTGGTGGCTCATGGACCAGCTCTCCCTTGGAGTTATCGTTTTCTTCGTGGTTGTCGGCCAGGAAATCCAAGATGTCTCCACGCAGCTTCTCGCCACGCGCAAAGCTCTTGGAGGAGGAGGAGGAGGAGAAAGCCGCCGAAGATGGTGGTGATGGTGTTTGCGTCGTGCTGTTGTTCAAGGAAGCGGGCAGATGGTGGTAAATGGACCCTAACCCGCTCGCCCACATGGAGCGCACATGTGAGTCGTCGGTTACCCGGTGGAAATGCGGGTTCCTGGTGCGAATCTGCATGATGGTGACGGGCTGCAGATTTGGCACCCGGCCCGCGTTATAGCCGGCATGAGCACCAGCAGCAGCAGCAGCAGCAGCAGCGGCATTCTGCGGAGCCAATTGATCTAGTAGCTCCACAAAATGGAACGGTTCGATGGCGTAGCCGTTGGCGAGCCGCAAGCTCAGAGCAAGGTCCATGGTCATGGCGTGCTCGCCGGCGTTGCCCGTCACGATAATCTCGCTGTCACGGGCGGCGGCCAGGCTGCCGGTTGGGTCGGCGTCGGCCATGGCGGACAGCAGCTTGTTGAGCCAGCGGTTGACCACCTGCGAACTCCGGCCCTCGCACGTGTAGTCGATCTCGCCGTTCCTGACCTTGGGCTTGGACGCCCACCGCAGGCGCACCATGGTCTCGGTGCCCGGGTTGGGGTTGAGGGCAAAGCCGGCGGCAAAGGCCCGGCAGTACTCGTTGACGGCTCCGGGGACGGTGATGTCGGCGTCGACAAAGGCGACATAGCGGCGCTGGGGGCACAGAGCAGCCACCAGGGCAATGCCAAGCATCATGCCCTCCCCCTTTCCATTGCGGATGCGCTTGTGGCTCCCGCCGGCCACGTGCGTGACCAGGTCGGGCAGGCCATACATGTTGAAGGCTGCTGCCGCCGCGGCATCGCTCTGGTGGATCGCCAAGGCGGGCCGGGCGTGGCGGCAGAACTTTCGGAGCATCATGACCTCCTTTCTGTACGCCCGCCCCTCGCTGTTGGACACCAGCACAATCAGACACCCGCGGGGGATGCCCGAGAGCACGCCCTCGATCGTGTTGGGGTCCTCGCCCTTGCACGGCACAATGACGGCCATCTGGCCCAGAATGCTGTCCAGCTGCGCCTGCGGGATGGTCACCTCTGGCGGAACGCCGTCCAGCACGCTCTCGTCGTCCTCCGGATCCGTATCGCTCTCGAGGTCCCTCATGTCCTCGTCCTCGTCCGAAAACAGGTCGTCGTAATCCGAGTCGTCCAGCGAAGACTCATCTCCTTGCTCGGAGCCTTGGGGCGTGTAAGCTGACCCGACCGTCTCCAGCGGTATCCCCGAACCGGCATCCAGCTCCAACACCTCAATCAGGTGCATGATGCTGAGGCCGCCCATCTGCAAGCCTTTTCGCGGTTCCGTGAGACGCATCTTTTTTTTTTTTTTTTTTCTTAATGAAATTGGCGATTAGGAATAACAATTATGAATATGAGTGCAAAACTCGGGGAGGATGATGATTGGTTGGCTATACAAGCAGGCGATATGCAGGTGTTGCTGCAGCAGTAGTGCGCGCCAGTCAAGTGTCGACAAACTTGGTGGTCAAGTTGTTGTATATATCGGTATTAGTAGTAGCAGCAGTGGCGATGATGGTAAAAAAAGTGAGACTGGGCCGGCACTGCGGGTACTTATAGCACATAGCATTCCCCGGACAATGGCATGGATGAGGCAGTTCGGGATAGATGACGGGAGAGTGAGGCAAACAAACACGGTGTGTGTGTGGTTGCGGGTTACTTTTGTTGTTGGGCGGTGTTGGTCTGACTGCTGCGGTTCATGATCCCCAGGGCTCCCGAATGGTGGTGGTGGTGGTGGTGGTGGTGATGGTGGTCTGTGGTTGATGTGTCACTCGGTATGTCTCGCTCTCGCGTCACTGTACTTGTTCGGGAAACCAACAACGGGTATAAAGATGGAAAAGCAAAGTGACTGGCTATGGCGAGACGGGAACTGTTTAAAAAAAGCGTGGCTGACCGTGGGCGACATGCTGCAAAAAAGAAAGCAGAAATAAAAAAGATAACAATCACCAGTTGGGACAAGCTTTATCTTGATAGGGGGGGAACCGAGTGTAAAGGTTCAGAGTACTGTAGGTAGGTACATGGCACAACATGGGGTACAGCATGGGGACAACAACATGGGAGAAAGACATGGGCCCATGCACCGAGTTTGTGTGTAACAATAATGTATAGCGAGCGGGTTTGATAGGTTTGCCCTTTATTTTTTGTTTTATTTTTTTTAATTCTTTTTTCCCTTTTTTTCACCAATGTCTACATGGTACCTATCTGTGTTACCCCGACTACCGAAGCTACGTGTACACTAGTATGCGATGGAGGAGGCCGGATGGGGAGAGTTCCAGAGTCGAGGAGATACCTGGTAAAACACGCTCGTTGTTCAACGGGCAAAGAAATTGGCAATTTCCCGGCCTTTTCGTTGATTGGAAAGAGAGCTAGAGCAGCTATGGCAATCTTATCGGCAACTGTGTGTCGACTCAAACAGGAGGATGGACCTGACTCCCGCCGCCGCCCGCTGGCTGGAACTCGACGATCCTCCCACAAGAGGTATTGTGCTTTAGTGGCCAACCCACCGTAAATTTCTCCAATAATGCCCCACGTGCCGTTGCAGAGGTTGCTGCTCCAAGCAGGGTTCCGGGGTCTAGTGGCTAATTGCCCATGGAAAGCCAGGGCGACGCTCGGATTTACGGTGGACTCCCGCCTAACGAAGCCTTCTGGAAAAAGACGCGGACGGGAGAACCATTCCAGATTTCCACCACCAGCGAGCGAGTCCAGCTCTTTTTTACCTAGCTAGCGTAACTAGCCTACCTAGTTAGTGTCGGTGTGTCCCGTTCCCTTGCTAGTGGATATATCATATCTCCCATACCTGCGGCGCACTAGGTACACTAAGAGGTAACTCCGCTACCATCGCCTGGTCTGTGATTGGCAGCAACGTCTGCTGTTAGTCCACTTTCCCTTTCACCCAAACCTCTTACCCGTTCAACCCGGTAACAACAGTAACGCTTCAGGGGATGCCGGTGACGATGACAATACAGTACTGATTCACAGCCTCCTCTGCTCTCCCCACATGCCTTGAAAAATTCTCCCGTCCTTCCACTCCCAAACATCCAAACTCGGCTTACAGGAAAAAGCAACCACGGCAGATCAAACACTTTTGACATTCCCGTGCTGCCGACGGAACCTAACCTAACAACACCCCCCCCCCCCCCCCCATGGCCAGGCACATGCGAGGTGATTCGATTCCATGTGATGCCCACGATCCACCAAAGAGACCAGTGTTTGTTTACTTTTTCGCACCAGACCACTCCAGACCAGACACCAACCATCCTCAGCCCTACCCAAGCCATCCTTTGATGAGAACAGGGAAGAATCGTCTTGCACTGAGGAAGCCAACGCCTTTCCTTTGCCGCGGATACAAACCGGTCGTCCCAAATAGGTAGGTGCTTTGCTTCCAGGCTCTTTGTCCATCCCCTGTCCCTGACCGGCCACATTCCCACCCCCCCGGTCGTCGAACCCGTCCATCCCCGGCTGCCACCAACCAACCCCCCGGCCAACCCCCCCTGGTCCTGCTCTGTTTCACGACCGGGAGCCGAGCTATGAAGGATCCGGTTTCCCCCTGGTCCCGCCCGGGCGTCATAGCGATCCTTTCCACCCAATTTCTCATACGAAGTGGAAACACCAAGAGCCGAGAACAAGACAGAACCAGCACAAGCCGGGCATCCCTTCACGGCCGCGCGGGCATGGCACGTTTGGGGTCATGGTGGTCAAGGTAGCTCATGATCATGGACATGGAAGTGAGCGTAGGCCTGTTTGGCTGGCTGGCTGGCTGGCTGGGTGCATCATGTGCGTGCTATGCTTTTTTTTTTTCCCCGTTCGTCATTCTGTCGCTCTTCTCGCTAGCTAGCTCTGCCAATCCGACTTCTTGGCTTGCTATCATATACTCAAATACTCTGAAAAAATGATAGCCCCCAAAATAAAAACAATAGTCCCTATATCGCAAGCCGCCTGATATCCGTTCGTCATCACAGCCCACGACGGATGCAGAGAAGACTCTCATCATCACTGGTCACCCAGAGCTTCGGGTCCAGCACACACTCTCGACATGATTGCATGTCTTTTTTGGTATGCCAATGGAACTTGATCATGTCACCCTACTACGGCTGGGAACTTTTGAGACGAGGCATGACGGCACAAAATACGGTGAAGAATACGACTCTATTCAAAGGCATGTATGTAGTATGTATGTATCGGGGATGACGATCATTCTCACTCTCTCACTCATCTCAGTGACAAAACAGGCGATGGCATGCTCGGGCGCACACTCATGCTCACACCACTTTCTTTCTTGACAAATGGAAACTGCCATTCAGCAACAAGCGCAAGCGCCAGGCGCGGTGACTGTATTTTTTCGGTCTATGTCGTCGTCCAGTCTCGCTTTCCCCTTCCTCGTTGACACCCACCCACTCACACTCACACTTGCACCCACAGATCCATCCAACCATCCATCCACTTGCATGGGTTCTTTTCCTCCATCTACACTGCATACACTGATGCCATGCGCCCCATGTTCATCAGCAGCACAGGGTGTAGTGCCCCATTGGCATGTTGTTCGTGTTACACAAGAAAGGGTCATCAATGCAACCCAACTCCCTCGGTTGAGTTCGCCGAGACCGGGCGTAACACCGGAGAAGGGGACAAAAAAAGATTGAAAGATCCAGTTGACAAAAAAGAGAGAGGAAATGGGATGGCGTTACAATCCACGTCGGCCGGAAAGCAACCCAAAAGATGCCGTAAGAGAGAGAAAAGAGAGAGGCATTGCCAGACATACATGCCACGAATGACGCGGTAGGATAGCGCGGTACACGGGCATAATACCGCAATACCCCTGTAACAATATCGGCTTCAGCGTAATGATGATACCTACCTACCTTTTTTTGCAGGCCTCTGGAAAACCCAGTGGCTCGGATACGCCTTGTCCTGTTGGACCGTTAGTGTGTACCTCGGAGACCTCCAACTCTGGTCAACCAATCAAGACACCGGACCATCCTCCATCCTACGCTAGCCCCGAGTTTATGTAGGTACCAGGTCTAACTGACAGCAGCAGAACACACGTGCATGCCAAACAGGGGAAAACGGGACCAAAGAAGGAATAGGAAAGCGTAAAGATTTGCTGATAAACCTACAAAAGAAGGAAAGAGAGCAAAGAAAACAAGGCGGACCACATTCCGCTAGGAGACTTCTCCGCGAGACAGCAGCAATCCCTGTTGGAAAGAAAAAAAAGCCCGGGGAAATCATCAATGAACGACATCCTATCGCCCGTTGGACTTTCTATATCGAACCATATCTACTACATACTGTACCTAAGAAGCAACTACACTAGGATTTCCAAAAGTAGTAGCAGCATCAACTGCATGTCTCAGATACACCACCACCCCCACCGACCACCCACACCACAAAAAAAGAATAAGCAATGTTTCTGAGACGGCTCCTGAGAACTGAGACATCGTGATCAGTTTCCAGCGCGTCGAACACACCCGAAAAGCCCGTTAGCAAGAGCAGCTGAACGAGAGACATTCAAGCCCAGCCTGCCCTGTCCGAACTGCTGAATGGATGAATTGATGAATGGGAATTTTCAAGCACGCAACAAACACCTACCGGCGGACACTAATAACGACCACAGCACCGAAGCAGAGTCATGAAAATTGTTAGTCCCGGATTTACACTATCCTCATTGCCCTTCTTCACGTTATTCCACCTGCATTAGCCACCATCAGGAAATTCCCATTCTCCCTTGTCAAGCCACCACGGAAAAAAAAGAAACAACAGCAATAACGCCATCGATGTACAATGTAAGAAATGTAAGAAACAAACCGCAATATCTGGTCGATGTCGGCGTCGTCGGCACCACCGGCCACTAGTCACTAGTCACCAGCCGCCAGCCAGCCACCAGCCACTGGGATCAACATCCATCCCAACGTCTCTGCGCAATATATTAAGTACCATTTATATGAAAGTTCCTTCTTCTCCCTTCTTCTGTCGCGGCTGAAAGCCACCTACCTACCTTGTCTTCCAACCTCCCGATGATGATGATGAAAGCCACAAGTAAATAAATCCCTCCATTTTTTAATTCGTAAAACCAGGAATCCGATTCGTCTGTCCTCTTTCGAAACCACTCAGGGAGCTACTAGAAAGCCACACACAAAGTTAGACGAACCACCAAGGTAGGCAAGGTATCTACCTAGGCAAGGTATCTAAGCAAGGGTGCGGCGCAGGTATGTATGTACAGTACACTACCCTAACATACGAGCATACTTACCTACCGTACATAGGTATTATCCCCATGTCCCGTCTACACACGTCCATTCACGTCTTGCACCCACGTTTGTGCAGTTCAGTTAGGTAGGTAGTTCCGCACTGTACATACCTAGGTACCTCGCTGTCCTGACTTCCAGCTTAAATTGAAGCCGGCTGGCTGGCTCCCCCCCCCCCCCA